ATAAAGAAATTTACACCTCCCTATCCCAAATCAAATTCCGGATTTCTTTCCAATATATAAGGGTGTAAAAAAATATTTGGTTTTCTTGGACTTCCCTTAAAAATTATTATATAAACCTTTTCCGAATCCCCGGTTCCTCAAATTATTTCTCCTCATGGCCACTGGGTTTGATACATACCATTTTTTTTAAAGGATTTCCTCCAAATTAAATTTATTTCCCCAAAATTTTATTTGAATAGTCCTTAAAGATTTAAACAGTATTTTCAAAATTTTTATAAACCCTTTCATTGATAAAAACCTTCAGAAGGAAGAAGATGGCAAGTTTCGGAACCCATTGTTCAAAATTAGATATGCCAGGAAGTTTAAACTTTTTTTATCTTTCACTTAATCTTTCAAAGTCAATATCTTTATAAACTTCAGAATTAGCACTATTAATGTAAACGTCTGTTAAAGGTTTGTCATCGAAATTAGGAATTATTATTGGATGGATATAACACATAACAGCCAAGATCGATGGCCAACCTGTTAGCTTACCCTTATCAAATAATTCCTTATAATTCCTTCCAAATAGTGACACTGAATGTTTTTGGCAATAAGAGTAAATTTTAGTCTGAAAGCTAGCATAGTTTTTTTGGCATGTTTCTTTACTGGCATGGACATCACTGAAAATATTCCTAAATAAAGTAGCAAAATCTGGTTCTTCTAATTGACTAAGCTTCGCTGCTTTAGCTTTCCCCAGGCCTTTGACACCTTGATTATAGTCGCCACCTAATAGGACACTAAAGAGTAAAAATGAATCAGGATCTGTCCTAACCTTCATAAGTAAACGAATCTTTTCCATATCTACAATGGTAACAAATGATTCACGACTATCTGGTTTCTTAATTGGACTATTCCCTGAACTTCCAAGGTCTTGAGTATATTTTGAATAGTTTCGAAGCAATTTCGTACATCCAAAGAATAAACTATCTGAATCATTAGTTAAAACGAAGTCTACATATCCATTGACTTGCAACCAAGAGCATTGAGCTTCTGCTTCACCACATGCATCTATATATGATATTTTAAAATCTTTTAATATTGATTTTAAATTGTCTAAGAAGTCTGAATTTTGTAAACCACTTTCTTGGCCAATGCACTTGCCAACATTTGAATGAAATGAATTATGTTTATCCCAAATATCCTTATAATCAATATCTTTAAACATTTCATTGAAATATAAATCATTTTCTAATAAGGTTGAATCATAACGACCACTGTCCTTTTTAAAAGATGGCTTCATCGAACCATCAAATACTAATATAAATCCAACATTGAATGAGAGGAATTCCTTCAACCTATGAATTAAATTCAATAACGACTTGGATTCTGTACCATGTGTAATATATTTAGATATACTATCTTCTCTAGAGATAAAACCACATTCAAATAACCATAAATAAGCATCGATAGCTATTTTTGGTGAACGACCATGCTCTTGATTAAAATCATTCACAAATTTCCTAAAGGGTACTCGACTATCAACTAATATAGGTTTCAATAGATCCCATATCTGAGGTACACCCATAATAAAACCATCCCAAAGTGTTAGCCTAACCTTGTACCTTCAAAAGTTAGCCTCTTCTTATAGAGTGAACTAAAACTTCTTAGAATTTTAAAGGCTTCTTACTTTTAAACTCAAATCAGGTCAGATATGGTGACACGAATTCAAAAATGAAATGTTATGTTACTATAATAACACAAATTAAGTATCTATTAGTATATTATAAATCAAATTTTGGTATATAATTTATATTAGTTTTAAATAAATCTCTTTTAAACCTTAGCACATATATTAAGAATTAGAATTATGCCGTTTAAATTTAATTTGGTACAACCAGTGTACTTCTGATAAATTATACGTTCGTCTATCAATTATTGGAAGGAATATATGTATCTCCAGATTCATTGGATAATTTTATAATTACAACTCAGGTAAAAACGAGTTTATAAGTTTTTGATTGACAACTATAGACCGAATTTTAACCATTCTAAATCATCTGCAATGTTAGTTCTCGACTTATTTGAATTTTCCGTTGTTCCTGATACGTTTGTATTTGATACTGAAGTAATTGCATTTGATCCTGTAGTATTTCTAAAAGTCGATGGTTCTTTTAGAGAATCACTTCTACGTATATTCATTGAGTTAGAATTTCTTAAATTTATAAATGATGATTCATCCTTACGAACTCCTCTTTGCTGTTGTATAGAATCTGTGTAGCTATTTCTTGGTGACGCTGTTATTGTAGAATACTTCCACGAGGAAGGATTGGAATTGTTCATAGCAGAATTAATTTGTTGATAATTCATATTTGATAAGATTTCATTCGAGTGGTTGTTTGAAAAATATTTAACATCATTGGGTTGCGAAGATGAGTTTTGTAGTTGTTGTGATAATAAGGATGTATGGGATCTCTTAGTAGACGATCGAGATATTTTTGGAGATTCTGATCCCATTGAAAATTGATCAAAGCCTGACTTCTGTGGGGGAAACCCTCCTGGTGATACCTCATTTACGTTGGCTACCATTGAACTTGGTCCCACACTACCAGGAGTAGTAGCGTTAGCGAGAAGTACAGAATTAGAAACTGGTTGTTGTGATGCAGTTCCTAATCCAGAGCTAGATGCATTTCTAGACAACCTACGTCTCGGTATTGTCATACCTGATCTTCCATATGAATTTGAAAACAAACTTGTTTGATTAGTACTATTAGAATTTAACATAGCAGAGGTTAATGGACTATATTGTCCTTGGGAAACCCTAGGCGATGATGCGTTGCTACTATTTGCACTATGAGATAGCGGTATCCCTGAACCGTATGATACTTGAGAATTTGGTGAAGGTTTTGGTAATATCGGTACTACAGATTTTGTTGACGATCGACTAGAGTTTGATGACGTACTGCTTGCACGAGATTTACGAATTCCGACACTAGATCCACTAGTTAAGGTTTTGTTAAGTGATGTCGAACTAACATTAATTGGCGGTGATTGTTGATAAGCAGTATCAATGAAACTATGAGTATCTGCTGTTGTAAAATTCATTGGTAAACTATTATTAATATTTTGAAGACCATTACCTTGCACCATTCTATTTTGATTAATTTCTTGTGGGCCAACTTTACTTTTTTCTTGTGATTTTGTACTTTGTTTAATACCATCATCATTATTTTGATTTTTTTTCGACCTCTTCTTTGCATTTCTCCTTTTAATAACTTCAGTTTTCAAAGACAAAGGTCTCATAGTACCATGAAGCTTTTGAAATAAACCACATGCATTACATAAGACATTACCCTGGGGATCCCTTCTCCAAAGAGGAGTTTTTGAAGTCTTACAATTAGCACATAGAACTGGATCTTTCTTCGGTACCTGGTCTTTTGATTGTGATGGAATATTAGTAGAATTTCTTTTCAAATTTGATAACGAAGTCGATGACATTTGTCTCACACCTGAGTTTTTCCTTATGGAATTTTGATTTGAAGTCTGTAGCGAACCCAACGGTAGTCCACCATCTTCATTGAATTTCTGTTTATTTAGATGGGTAGATGATCTTCTTCTGGATAAAGAACCACTATCCCTTTTCTGGGAAGAACTATTTCCCATAAGTGAAGTAACCAAAGAAGAAGGCTCTGTGTAATCGAAGCCTTCCATGTTAATAACGTGTGAAGGATTTATCGAATTAAATAAAGATTGAGGTGCAAAAAGAGAATTTCCAGGAGCACTACCTCCCATATAATGTGAATGCATATCTGAGTTAAAACTATTAGGAGCACTTATAGTAGCTGAGTTCGAACCATTTGGAGTCATCATAAAATCATCTAAGTTAAAATCCCATAGCTGCGCAATTTCACCATTTTGTTGATTTACAATATCTATAGGGTCAGTATTTGATTGCTGAGTCGAATCAATATTATTATTGTTATTATCATTGTTGTGCTGGGTATTACTATTATGCGTATTATTGGAGTTGGAACCAATGGTATTCCCCAAGATATTATTGATATTATTGATATTATTGATATTATTGATATTATTGATATTATTGACGTCTTGTTGCATAGAGTCGTCTATGCCCTTTGAGTTTGTCTGTTGATTTGGCGAATCAGTATTGAATTGATCTAAAAAACTCACATAATCTGGTAAAACTTCCAACATTGAATCATAAGACAGAGTTTCATTACCACTGTTGAAAAACTGATTCCCACTATCGCCAACGTTATCATTATTACTGCTATCATGATTGGTCATACCTAGAGGAATATTATGGCTAAAATCATAAGATTTCGAGTCGTGAGGGTTCATCTCTTACTGAGCAGCTAGTCCCCTCCCCCAATGGCAAAATATATATATATATATAAAATAAACGCTAAAACCAGTTTCACAATCCTTTGTATATACCTGTATCTGCAAGTATACTATCTTTTCTATTTCGTTAAGTCTCTGGAATACTTATAATCCTCTTCCCAAATTAATTATAACTGTAGAAAATAGCAAAATCATCAACTTTCAGGAAACCCTTCACCCAAAGATAAACTGAACCAAATATAAAAGTAGCAGAAATACCAAAAACAAAAAACACAGCTTCAATAAGCTTCTTTGTCCTGTGTTTCCAGTCAAAGTTCAAGTGTTGCTTGGTCCCTTGGATAATAACTCTGCCTAGACAACCTAATCCAATAATTAAAGCCCAAATTGACAAAAATACCAAATCAAACACACACAAATAAAAGAAACTTGTCAATGTCAACTTGCTCCAACCTTAGAAGCAATACAAATCCACTTTTAGCCTATCTTGGGACCTTCAAAAGGAGTCTTAGTCTTTAAATTAAAACTTAATTTAAAGCTTCAGTTTTTATACATTATGCTTTGAATTCCCGATGGGATAAAAGATGAGTAATAGCTAAGCAGCGATAAAGAGAAGAAGTTGATTAAACATGAAGATTTGGAAGGTTTTGGAGGTGTTTTAAGGTGTTGATGTTGTTGGAGGTGGTTTATCTGGAGTTGATGCGTTTTATAGTGTAGTTTATGAATTTGAATGGCGGGTTTACGAGGTTTGTAGGTCTTGTGAGCGGTGAGATGCTGGAAGGGGAGACTCAGAGTGAACTGCTTTGAATTGGAGAAACGAAGGAAAGAGAGAGAGAGGAGAGAAGCATGGGTTAGTTGGCAGGTGCTGTTACCTATTGGAATGGTGTCGACAATGTACCAGTACTGGTGTTTTTGGATGCGAGCTAGTTGCTTATTTTTTTCAACTTGCATATTGCTGTGTGTTTTATGATACCAAGTCACGTGACACACAGTTATAACTGCATATAAAGAATAAGACCTCCTCTCTCTATCCCCCTCCCCCATCTTCCAAAACTCTGTCTTGACGTAGGTACTGGATTGCTATTGACAATCTGTATTTGGAGTCATCCATATCGCCTGTCACCTTGGAACTATACGTTATGCAGTATCTTATAGATGGGTGTCAGACCGAACTGTCAATTGACTCGGTTGACCACTCTAGAAGGACCAGATATTTCTGATAAAGTCACTACACAGATAATTAATCGATATACCAGGACTGAACCAATCCCAAACGTCACAAAACTTCCTAAAACAAGCCATTACTTCTCAATTTCAACTGTCAATGTGTCCTCTGCTGCTGTCCTCTCTGGGCTGGGCTCATCGATTTTTCACGATGAGCTTCCAAAGTGGAAAAATCGATGAAAAGTTTCACCAACTCACATACACATACAGATGGATCACCACAAACTGTTATTAAAAAGATAATTCGATACATCTAGCCAATCCGTTGCCATCATCGTGATCGAGTGTCTTGATTTCTGGTGCTTTAGATAAGGTGATATTGAGATGTCTGCTGAGAAACGTGAGTTGGAGGATTCCGGATCCAATGGTGAATTGAAGAGACAGGATGTCTCATTTAGCAAAGGTATTGCACATATTAAAGCAGAGTTCATTGCTAAGTCCAATGACAATTCTCAATTTCAACAGGCTTACAATGATGAAGAAATTGCTGATGCTGACCGTATTGGTGCAGAAGGTGGTAAAAATTCTAGGAAGCATAAGAAGAAACAAAGAGGTCAGAATAAGAGTAGAGATAATAGACAGGTTAAAGAAGAGAAAGTATTGTGTCCCAAATACATTCAAGGATATTCTGAAGATGGCGAATCGTTGTGTCAATTTGGAGATAAATGTAGATTTGTTCATGATATTAAGGAATATTTATCTCATAAAAAGCCTGAAATTGAGCTAGACCAATTTAAAATTTGTCCAGTTTTCGATGCCTTGGGTTTCTGTCCAATGGGGTTCAAATGTAGATTCATGTCTAGTCATTTCGACAAGGAAAACTTCAAGTTGGTCAAAAGAGGTACCGATGAAGAACGTCAAAAGTTATGGTCGTTGGATCATGAAGTTAACCGCATTACTTCAGAGGAAAAATTATCTTTGATCAAAAGACGTTTCCCATTTACAAAAAGTAACGAAGTATTAGATATCATTGATTCCATCCAACAAGAGTTCAGAGATATCACAGCTCCAAAGGTTTCAAAGGAAGAAGCTTCCGAGGATAAACCAAAGGATTCTAATGAGGCAGAGGTTGCTCCACAAGTTTTGCAAAGAGAAGAAGAATTGAAGAAAAAAAGAGAACATCAACGTGAGTTATACTTGAAATATAAAGATACAAGATATTTTGCTCAAGAGAAGAAGGATTTGGATTTGAGACGTAAGAAAATCGTGTCACCTTTAACTACTGTTGGTAACTTACCTTACCGTCGTTTGATGAGAAAGCTTGGTGCCGACGTCACCTATTCCGAGATGGCCTTGGCCGTGCCTTTGATCCAAGGTACTAACTCTGAATGGGCACTACCAAAAGCTCATTCCACCGAGATTCCTGGATTTGGTGTCCAAATCGCCTGTTCAAAAGCATGGCAGGCAGCCAAAGCTGCTGAAGCTCTAGCCAAATTCACTCCAGATATCAACGAAATTAATTTGAATTCAGGATGTCCAATAGATCTTTTGTATAGACAAGGTTCAGGTAGTGCTCTATTGGATAATCCAGCTCGTATGATCCGTTGTTTGAATGCAATGAACTATGTCTCAGATTCTATCCCTATTACTGTTAAGATCCGTACCGGTACTAGAGATTCCCATCCTGTAGCTGACACTTTGGTAAAAAGACTTGTCTATGAAACGGATGTCGCTGCTATTACTTTGCATGGTAGATCAAGGCAACAAAGATACACTAGAGTTGCAGACTGGGATTATGTCTCCACAGTTGCTAAATCTTTGAGAGAAAGTGAAGCAAGTTTCCTTGAATCTGCAGAGGGTAAAGAAAGTCGTGAATCCAAGAGAAGAATTCAATTTGTTGGTAACGGTGATGTTAACAACTTTGAAGACTGGCACAGAATCTTAAATAACGATGAAAACATCGATAGTATCATGGTAGCCCGTGGTGCTTTGATAAAACCATGGGTTTTTGAAGAAGTTGATGCTCAACAACATCTAGATAAATCTAGTACAGAAAGATTAGAAATATTAAGAGATTATGCACAATTCTCAATGGAGCATTGGGGAACTGATGAATATGGTATTGCCCAATGTCGTAGATTCTTCTGTGAATTCATGTCATTCTTTCATAGATATATTCCAATAGGTATATGTGAAAGATATCCAGTTCAATTGAACGAAAGACCACCAAACTGGGTAGGAAGAGATGATCTAGAAACTCTAATGGGTAGTACAGATGCCAGAGATTGGATCAAGTTGAGTGAAATGTTTTTCGGTAAAGTTGAAGAAAGCTTCGTTTTCACTCCTAAGCACAAGAGTAGTTCATTCCCATCTGCTTAAAATTATAGAAAAGTATAATAAAATTCAATTTGTAAAATAATAAATAAACTATAATATCTATAAACACCTGATATTTAAACAATTTTAAATTGTGTATAAGTATTCAATTTATGCTTTCTATATATAAAGGTATCAGTGCATCCTATTATTACTATAATTTTCCCATATGTAAATAGTGAAAAAGTGAAAAATTATCGATGAGCTGCTAAATATCACGATTCTGATCTGATTTAAAAGGATGGAAAAGTATATTGTTTTAAAGCTAATGAACAACACTAGCGAACCAAACGTATAATATGGCTCCTAAATCCAGTTCCTCTAGTTCTGCTGCTAAAAAGAAGTCTACTTCAGGAGATGGTGATGCATTAAAACAACCAAAATTTAAACTTCCAACTGAGTTTATCGCAAGACCTCATCCTTCAAACAAGACAAACCCTCAGGAAGTATGTGAAGTTATTGTTCATCCTGCTGTTCTTAAAGAATTGGGAATCAATTCAGGACTCATGTGTGTTGTCTCCAAGATAGGATTTAAAGGTATTGTTGCTATAGCCAAAGCCGGTGATGAGGGCTCTCAACCACATAATGTTATAATGTTGTCATCTACATTAAGATCTATTAGTAATATCATATTAGGTGATAGATTAGAGATATCTAAGATACAATGTCAACCTCCAAAATTGATCAATGTTACAGTTGGGACTGCCCAAGGTATAGAGATCACCGATGAAGCTGTCCAAAAGAAAGTAGAGAAATTATTACAAGATGCTGGTATTATTGCCCCAGGTATGGTATTTAGTAATTATGCATTAAATGAAACTGAAAATGTAGATTTGATTGTAATTGGAACCAGTGATGATTCATTACCAGATGTATCAAAAGTTGAACTTGAGTCTAACTCTAATGAGAATAGCGATGCGTATTCTACATTCATATCACCTGCTGGTATTTTCCGCAAGGATTCTGCAAAAGTTAGATTCACATCACAATCACAGGTTGATTCAAAGTACAATCTCCCTCAACGATTCTTATACAACGATGTTGGTGGTTTGAAAAGGGAAATTGATTCGTTAACCAAAACAATTGAATTACCATTACATCAGCCAAACTTGTTTTCAGATTTTGGTATTAACCCACCAAGAGGTGTTCTGTTACATGGTCCACCAGGTACTGGTAAAACAATGTTATTAAGATGTGTTGCAAACAGTAGCAATGCTCATGTGTTAACAATTAATGGTCCATCAATTGTTTCTAAATATTTAGGTGAAACCGAAGCTAAATTACGTGAAATCTTTGATGAAGCTCAGAAATATCAACCATCAATTATCTTTATTGACGAGATAGATTCTTTGGCTCCAAATAGAGCCAACGATGATTCTGGTGAAGTAGAAAGTAGAGTTGTCGCAACATTATTGACTTTGATGGATGGCATGGGAGGTTCTGGAAGATTAGTTGTTGTCGCAGCAACAAATAGACCAAACTCCGTTGATCCAGCATTGAGAAGACCAGGAAGGTTTGATCAAGAAGTAGAAATAGGAATACCTGATGTGGATGCTAGATTTGATATTCTAAAGAAACAATTCTCAAGAATGTCAGAGGAACGTCACACTTTGAATGAAGATGATATCAAAAATATTGCTTCAAAAACTCATGGTTATGTAGGTGCTGATTTGTCAGCATTATGCAGAGAATCTGTTATGAAAACTATCCAAAAAGCTTTGAATAATTCTGAACCAATTGACAGATCGAAGTTACAAGTTACATTAAAAGATGTCGAAAATGCTATGGCTGAAATAAGACCCAGTGCAATGAGAGAAATTTTCCTAGAAATGCCTAAAGTCTATTGGTCTGATATTGGTGGTCAAGATGATTTGAAAAGAAAAATGAAGGAAGTAATTCAATTGCCATTAGAAGCTGCTGAAACCTTTGCCAACCTTGGTGTGTCAGCTCCTAAGGGTGTCTTATTATATGGTCCTCCTGGTTGTTCCAAAACTCTAACAGCAAAAGCTTTGGCTACTGAATCTGGAATCAATTTCCTTGCTGTGAAAGGTCCTGAAATATTTAACAAGTATGTTGGTGAATCAGAACGTGCTATAAGAGAAATATTCCGTAAGGCTAGAGCTGCCTCACCAAGTATTATATTTTTTGATGAAATCGATGCTATATCTGCCGCGAGAGATGGTGGATCTTCAACTGCTGCTGCAAGCCATGTTTTAACTTCATTGTTAAATGAAATCGATGGTGTCGAAGAACTGAACGGTGTTGTGATTGTAGCTGCAACTAATAGACCCGATGAAATCGATCCTGCTTTATTGAGACCAGGTAGATTGGACAGACATATATACGTCGCACCTCCTGATTATGAAGCTAGATTACAAATATTAAAAAAACGTACTGGTAAATTTAATTTAGAAGGTTCCAACGTTAATCTTGAAGAATTAGCAAAGCATACAGAAGGTTGCTCTGGTGCAGAAGTCGTATTACTATGCCAAGAGGCAGGTCTTGCTGCCATCATGGAGGATTACAATGCTTGCAAAGTTAACTCTATTCACTTTGATAAAGCTTTATCTGAAATTTCAAGAGGTATCACTGAAGAAATGTTAGAATATTATCAAGAATTCGCACAGAAAAGTGGTGTATCAATAAATTAATCTATTGGAAGGAAGAAGACTAAAATAATTATTCAGAATACTTCCAATGGTCATTGCATTGACAAAATTGTCAAATAAGTATCTATATCTGTAGAGTAAGGTAACTATAACATATTTAGTATTCAACTCACTACGTCATCTTGTCATTGAATTCAATATTCCACCAATTTCAATTCTAGAAATTACTGGAATATTGCAACTAATTCGAATAAAACTAATAGGATGATAATCAATGCCCAATATATAATCAATTGACCTGCTTTAATCAATATTAATTGGTAAACTGGTCTTAAAGTCAATCGTACCTAATATCGTCCAGTACGTCTTCTTGATATTATTTAAAGCCTTAAAGATCAAATTCTATAAAGAAGGTACTGACTGCTACAATGGAACTAAAACTATTATAAAAGGTGTGATCAGTTCAGAATATATGACAATTACGGAGTCTTTGATGAATTGTTCCGATTTATATTATTGATTAGAGTTGCCAGTGGTTATTTTGATAAGTTGGTTGGAGAATTGTTTAAAAAGGAACCTTGAATAATGAATACCAATTGGAACAGCAAGAAGTTTGATGACTTCTCGAAGGAATCTCTTTACAAAGTTTTGAACAGTCTAAACTATAATGAAATTGTACTTGTTGTACAACAGAATATATTTACTTCATTAAATTCATTGTTTACTTTCACTGAATTAACCGAGAATACAAGTGTGACTAAAATAGTGACGATTGGGGATCAATTGGAAACCGATATTAAAGATATATTATCTAGTTCACCTAACATGAATCCTGTGTTCTTAATAGATGTTAGATTAGAATTAAGTTTACCTACCCAATTGTATGAATTTTTCAAATTATACCATTTACCAGATATAAAAGTGATATTCACTAGTTGGGATACTCAAAGAACCAACGATTTATTGAATCTACAAGTGGATAAGCAATTAAGAGTTTCTCATTTTATTCATTCACAGATTGAGAGTGCAACCCCTAACTCGGAAATTACATTGCTACCTTGGAATGTTGTCCCCATGCCATATATCGACGCAGATGTACTGAATTGCAATCTCCTATATAACTACAATGGAATGAATATGTATTACCCAAAAATGGTGTCAATGGAATCAGCAACAAGAAATATTCTAATTGACAATATGGCAAATTCATTGCAATCGCTTCTAAAGAATACAAACACAGTCATCACACAATCAGTTGCGATTGGTGAAGAATCTAAAAAACTGGTACACTTATTAAAAAGAAGAATTGAAGGTAGAAGAAGCTCTGATGAAAAATTTGAGGTTGAAACTATGTATAATGAAAACAAAAATGCCATCAAAACTGATTTGATTGTGGTAGAAAGATCTATAGACCCTTTAACTCCATTACTAACTCAGCTGACTTATGCGGGTATACTTGATGATTTATACGATTTAGGAGCTGATGAAAAACTGAAAGACAAGGATATTGCTTTAAAATTTAGAGTAGATGATATTTGGGAAAAGTTGAAATTTTTGAACTTTGGTGCATTAGGTCCACGTTTGAATCAAATGGCAAAAGACCTACAAAATAAATACGATTCTAGACACAATGCTGATAGTATCGGTGAAATAAAACAATTTGTTGATTCATTGGGTTCTTTACAAGAACGACAGAGATTATTGAAGCTCCATACCACTTTATCGTCTGATGTTTTACATGAAGTGGAAAATAATGATTCTTTACAATTTAATAAAATTCTTGATTTAGAGCAAAATCTGCTTCTAGACAATATTGATTATTCTACAAGTTTAGATATTATTTTGGGTTTGATTTATGAAGAAGAAATTGACAGCGATAAATTAATTCGAGTCATTTGTATATTTTCATTGTGCAGAAACGGTATAAAGGATAAAGACTACGACACAATAAAAAAAGAGCTAATCGAATCTTTTGGGATAGAGATATGTTTTCAGCTTGAAAGACTAGCATATGCCGGTTTATTCATCAACAAATCTATGTTTGTAAGTTTCCAAAAAGAAAAAAAATCATTCAATCAAATAAACGATATTACATTAGTATGGAACAAAGAATATAAATACATTTCAAAATGGTTAGATACATTACCTGAGGAAGATTCTGATAATTCGGAGAACCACAATGTTCCTACAAATCCAAAAGAGGCCACCTTTGCCTATTGTGGGGTGATTCCATTATTATATCGATTAATTCAATCATTATACGATAGATCTATCATGAGTAAACACTTTGCAGCTCAACAACCATTTATTATATCTGCTCAACCTGATCTTTCCATGACAGAAGATTTATATGAACAGATTTTTGGGAATGCAAAAATCGCAGAATCAATAATATGGAACATGGATACAAAAATTACTGCCATTAAAAGCCCAGTTCTGCAGAAGATGAACTTCCATAATAATGATAAAGTATTGATAACATTTCTCGGTGGTATTACCTTAAGTGAAATTGCCGTTTTAAAGTTCCTACAGGAAAAATTGAAGGCAAAAAATGTTAATAAAAGGTTTATCATAATTAGCGATGGAATCATCAATGGTACGAGAATAATCAATGGTAATTATTATAGAACCAGTAAGTAATCATGTATGTAATTTTATCAATATTAGGTGACAAATTCTGGGGAGAAAACCAAATATTATCTATGTTTTCTTATTTTATTTCCTGAAGGATTAGAGCTGCTTGATGTAGTACGATTATTGGAAAATTTGCTAAGTGCTTGTTGTGACGTCGAACTTCTTCTGACTGAAGGTATATTTGACTGGGTTTGAAAAAAATCTCTAACATTAACCGCTCTACTACTTCTCATATGGTCAATAAGGGCACCGTGACTTGCCTGAGAATAATTCGAAGAAGATGCATTAGTTACAGTATTATTTCTCTTTACAACTCTTAATTTCTCTAAAGCATTAGGAAACTGAGTCTTACTCTGCACGGGCAGCTTTGAACTACTCAACTCTCTAGTTATTGTTTGAGAAGAATTCTTCTTATTACTTGAACTTGAGTCATCATCTGTAAAATTTCCGATATGAGTAGAGTCAGCTACTATTTGCGAGTTCGGATTATTATATGATTTCTTTAAATTCGAATTTTTTTTCAATTTTCTAACAAACGCTTGCTCCAGTTCGTTTTCATCATCCAGTGTCAAGTCAACAGTTGCTGGTGGATCAGGAAGATGATTTTTCATATTTGAAAAAATCGAGTTCCCATTTCTTTCTGACGCCGACGACATACTCGACACCCTATCACTTTTAAAATGCTGTTTCGAAGTGAAAAAGGGAGTATCCCTCTTCTGATAAGTTCTCAACTGTAACTCAAGCTCGGAGATCTTGGTCTTCAATTTAGGAATAGAATCCAACTCATTTTTAGCTTGAAACAATAGCTGTCTCTGCTTGGCACATTTAGCCTGCAAGGTCACCACATGATCCTGGTAAAACCTACATTGATTAACCAACCCTGTCATCTGAAATTGAGAAACATTATATAGAGTCTCCAAAGTCTGCTCAATTGGTTGGAAAAAAACCGTGATATCCGGCGGCAACGGTCTAGCATCAGAGAGCACCACTACAGAAACATCACCAGCAGAACACAACGTGCAATTCCTACCCAGCTTCGAATCCCAATGCTGAGAGCAAAGGATATGAGCACATGAAGTCAAAAACAAAGGATCCTCCTTTGAACTCCTCCGATGACAAACACCACAATATACAAACAACTGATCAAACGTCCCCATTTCAATAAAACCCCCCAAACAACGTTTCCTGACCTTCTTATCACTCCTTCCCTCAGCTCCCAATCCAATCCAATCCAGAGTTGAGGAAAGATATTATCTTCAATCTCTGTGAACCATCTCCCTTTTATACTCGTCACTGTTTGTTCCCGGGTTCTCTCCCCTTAAAATGAAAAAATTAGCAAATAGCCGCCGAGATCAGATCAGATCAGATCCGCCAGCCTATATAAAAAGGGCAATAGGCAAAAGGGAATATGGTGGATATATATGAGATGCATATCGTATGGAGGGGATCGAACAAGTAAACTAGATATGTTGGTAGTCTTAGACATATCTGTTTCGTTGGTTGGATGGATATCCGTTAATTTGCTGTTTTCATTGCCAGAACGTTTATATATTTTTAATATTAACTATATACAAAGGGACACTTTGACTGACGAGAGATGCACAGACCAATTTCGATGGCAGCATCAGTGCCAGTGTTCAAAGTACTTAAATAAATATTTGTAATTGTTTTCCTAGCTTCAAGTCTGAATGGAAGAGAGGACAAAGTGGTGTAAACATATTAAAAAAAAAAATATTTTGCTGACTTAAAAATCCACCTGAGTTCCCATGAGACTCACTGCTGTTGACAGGTATCTTGTAACTCCTTTTCTAGATTCTGGAAGTTTGGATCGTTACCGTCTATTTCCAACAGATCGTTCAGTTCTGGTGCGTTGGTAGTGTTATTTAAGGAATTATTAACCGGCGAATTGCCCAATTGTTCCAAGGCATCTAGTAAATCGGTCAATTGTTGTCTGTCCTTCTCGTTGTTGTATTCTGGTGCTTCGTAGATTTGTATTATCTGACCAATGATGCCGTACTGCTTTTTGAATCTAGTGTGGTCTTCTTCTGAATAGGTTTCATCGGCTGTAGTGTTATCTTCAAACCATTTGGTATACTCCGAATGGGTTTCTTTCAAAGGTTCATATAGGACCTCCTTGCTGGACATCTGGTTTAAAAGACCCAAGATCGTGTCGTCCAAATTCCCATCAGGAGCTACATCAGACATCCCTGACAACAACTGACTAATCAAATCATCGCTATTGTTCATATTTTTCTTTTCGTCACGAAGTTTGTCGTCAACTTTAGTACCATTCTCTTTGATCTTGTTCAAAGTATTAGCGACAATATCCTTGAACTCATTAGACTTCTCCCCATTATCACTTTTACTCTTGACATCTGTCTGAGCACTCTTGCCCAACATGCCCATCAACTCTCTAAAATTCTCTGCAATTTCACTATTTTCACCTGCACCTTCACCTTCACCTTCAGCACCCCCGTTTTTCATCAAATTCTGAAACTCACTCTCTAACTCACTCATCATAGCCTTCACCTCATCATCACCATCCTCCATTACAGATTCGTTTGGATCACCACTAGGTTCTCCACCTCCAACAGCATTTTCCAGCTTGCTTGGATCTTCATCCAAAAGATCATCTAAATCATCATACTCGTGATCACTCATATCTCCGTTTCTAGTACTTTAAAACCTAACTAAACCTACTAGAAATAAATAAATCAATACAAAATCAACCTTTGTATATAGTAAGCCTTGATTCCTTGCCCTTCTTATACCAAAAATTTCATCAAAACTTGTTCATTTGATTCAATCATCCTCACTTTTATTTCAATTTAAGGCAAGTTCTGAAATTTCGTCTCTTTAAAGCTTTAATTTGGTAATGGAAATAAGAAAATATTGAAAAAACATGAAACTTTTAAAAGATACAAGTTTTGGATGATTTCTGTTGGGAAAAGAGGTTAGAAAGGAGAACTAGAGGGTCATCGAAGTATTTTATCATGAGTAGTTTGTGTTTGCAACGTTTGCAAGAAGAAAGGTACGTTAAATTTTGGTTAAATTTGGTTTAGATTTGATTCTAGCATGCATACTAACTAATATACAAAACAAAAACTTTATTATTGTTCTTGTTATTATTGTTATTATTGTTGTTTATGTCGATGGTAATGATAACGATGGTAATGATGATGATGATATTGATGGTTATTTTTATTGGATAGGAAGAAATGGAGGAAAGATCATCCTTTTGGGTTTTTCGCTAAACCTCTGAAGAAGCCTGATGGATCCATGGATTTACAAAGATGGGAGGCTGGTATTCCAGGTAGGACTGGTACTCTATGGGCAGAAGGTGTTTATCCGATTACTATTGAATACCCTGATGAATATCCATCAAAACCGCCAAAAGTCATGTTTCCTAAAGGGTTTTATCATCCTAATGTGTATCCTTCAGGGACTATATGTTTGAGTATTCTGAATGAGGAACAAGACTGGAGACCTGCTATTACGCTAAAGCAAATTGTGTTGGGTGTTCAAGACTTATTGGATTCTCCAAATCCAAACTCTCCTGCTCAGGAACCTGCTTGGAGAGCCTTCTCAAGAAATAAATCTGAGTACGAAAAGAAGGTTTCCTCTCAGGCCAAGCAATACACAAAATAAGGATCGGTTGCATAGATGAAAGGATTTTAAAAAGTTTATTTTATTTGATTTGCCGATTCTAACTTTAACTTTAACTTCCACTTTCACTTTCACTTCCAATTCCAGTTTTACTTTTATTTCGAGTTGAAATATACCTTCTATCGTACTTATTTTATATATATAAATTTATGTACTTGTAACAATATAGTAAACTATTATACAATGCAGTGGTTTACTCCTCTATTATATTAATTTATTGACCTTTTTCACTGGCCTTGTAATGTATGAAGCTGTCCAATGTGTTAAAACAGACATTACATTTTTCTTTTAACTCTGGTTCTTTATTTTTATCGACTAATTTGAACATCTTTCTCAAATTTGGAACCACTTCTTCTTTTAATACTTTCAGGAATCCTTCTTGGACAAACACAGGTTCGTCGTAATCAAATTGTCCATCACAGTATATTTCGAAAAACATATTAGATATGTCAACTAACAGTGATTGTGGTGTCTTTGGAGATATCAGTTGTGATAAGAAAAATTTACCAATTGCTTGATTTATCGAAACTTGTCCTTGGAATGTAGCATAAGCACTCAATACATCACAACATCTTTGTCTTAATTCAAGATGGTCCTCGCTGTCCATAATTTTAGCAGCATTGTTATAATCTTCAATTACAGCATTGACAAAACTTAAATTGTTAGATAATTGTAAGAATTGTAAATATTTCAACTGATCTTCATGTAATGAGACAGTTTTCAATAGGGCCCATATTACACTATATCTACCCATCTTGATACCCAAATCAGAGGCTTGGATGTCTGTTAGACCGGAAATGAATTGTACTAATTCGGTAGAAGACTTCTCTGATTCGAAAAGATCGACACCCAATGTAATGTATAACCATAGTAAATTATTCCAGGCAATCAATATACGAGAAGTGAATTCTGCAGATAATGCTTGGAAAATGTTTGGTAAGATGACTGTTAATAGATCTATCAGTTGATCTGGTAGTTGTTTATTATTTTTTTCTTCATATAATGAAGCAAGAATCTCAGTTGATGCAGTTATTAAATCAATGGCAATTTCTATACTCTGATATCTCATCATTGCTAAGTTACGTCTCTTGGTGTAATCTTTAATTTTAGAGGCAACTTTACTGTCATCTGCTTTCATCAATTGTTCATCTGCTTCAGCGGTGATCGACAAATCTGATTTAACAGTGGCCAAATCGATGTCATTAATCGAGTTTTGGATAGAACGGACAATTTCATTGATGTTTTCTGGCGTGATATCCATATCTAAAAATTGTAAATAGATACCTTGGATTAGCACTTTTGTCAATTCGTTAAAGTGAGGGTCATTCATCAATTCTGGTAAAGTCTTGACAAAAACTGATAATTTTGAATCATTTGTCACATTAGTTATGAATGAAAATGATTCAGAACTGAAATCATAAATCAAATCAAGAATTGTATTGAATAAGTTAATAGGCAAATTTTGGTAGCCAAAATCCAATAAGGTTGAAATGAACTTGAATATTTTTGATAGTTTTTCGGATTCCAATACTTCGTTAAGAATGTCATCTGAACCATTGCACAATGCTACCAACAGACTCAACAAGTTATCAGCTAAATCTGATACCATTCTTTTTGACTCAGTGGTGGATTTATTTTGTGCATCTTTTATCGCAGTTAATGAAGTTTCAACTTTTTCGAAGCCACTTACAATACTCAACCAAATGTTAGATCTCCATAAGTAAGTAGACACATCATAACCTTCTTCTAGAGCAATGTTTCTCAGGAGACCATAAGCTTCTACAACAATTTCTGCATCATTATCAGTAAGTAAATTGCTTAATATGATATGAACCAATTTTTCCTTTAACATTAACTTTCTCATATGAGGGTCCTCACATAACACAGTGATTGATTGTAAAGCCATCGATCTATCATTTGGGACAGCACAAGTTAATTTTTGTAATAAAGGTAGAATCTTTTTAGTAACAGTAGCATTATCTTTCTTATTATTATTGTTCTTATTACCCTGTAGAGGGTTAGCTCTATTAGCAGAAGTTCTTGATCTTTTCTTAGATTTACCCATTATTGTAGAGATGAAGACAGATTAATACCTCTCCGGGTGGTGGAATCTTTAGAATAGTAACCAATTGTACAACAAGGTCTTCAAATCTAATAGTTCTTATAGTCTGCGATGAGATGAGATGAGATGAGCTACTTAAAAATTTTGCCAGTTCTAGTTGAAGAAAAAAGATATTGATCACGTGGATCAAGATCAGGTAATCACGAGAAACGGTTAGCGTTTGAGATGATGCATTATATAAAGTTGTAAATATTAGTAGGCATAAAGGATTGTAATTGATATTATATAAATGATTATGATCATGAAAGGTTTAACAACAACCTTCGACTATGAATCGTATTGATGAGGGTGACTGGGAATATTTAAAATGTATTCAATGTGTTAATAATACAATGGTTTCCGTTGATGAACAGGTTCACATGAACATTTGTAATTACATACTGTATCAAAGTTTACCATTTCTCTACATATAAACTACTGACATACCTACAATATCTATACTAATACTAATATCCTTTCAAGACAGAGGATATGAATATAAACAAGAGAAAGAGAGTGGAAGAGAAAGAAAAATGTAGACTGAATTTCGACATCCCAAGTTCATCGCTAAATAGCACACAAACAACGGACTTCCTGTCATGTCCTTATTATAATATATTAATCTTGGAAACTGGTGACACCGTAATCAGGCGACACTGGCAATTAACTACTGTTAGCATACAGATCAGTCAACTGTGGCATTGTCTCCGTGCTTATAATTTTTGATTCACCCTTTTTAAATAATAAAACAAAAGTTAAAAACAAATACCAAACAATAAAACCATCTTTAAAAAGTGTTGTGTAAATGATCAAAACTCTTCAATCTGAAATGAAAAGCTTTTATAGTGCGAGAAAGGATCATTGATTTTGGTCGGGTAACTTAATATCTAACTTCATATAGGGCAAGCGAAATATACATATACAGAACAAAAGAGAAAAGAGAGATGAGATAGCATCTCATATGATGGTAGAATCGGTTGTTCAGAAAAGGATAGTTTTTCAGATGTTGATCGATGCTAGATATTCTGGTAGTGATTGTTGTAGTCCATGCCATCTCGATACAATCAACGTTGTAGTGTTATAAACTCTATCGTAATCTCTAGTATTGTCCAGATATACACGTCGTATATAATTACTTTTTAAACAATTGTTTTTTCTATTTTTGATATTTCCTGATTCGGACACTGCGCTTTTCTTTTCCTCAGCTCGAAAATATTTTTTCAGCTTTCAAGCTCATCTCATCGATTAAAAAAAAGATTCATATGAGAATAGTAACTAATATAACTGTAAATATGATTTTGAAACTAGATTTATATGCCCTATTGGTGGTTCATCTAGTTTCTAATCAGTAGTGTATTTAATCTTCCACCGATAAGCCATGGCTCATTCTCATAGATCTGCCGCCAAAAGGGGCCATAAGGGTTTCAAATCCAAGCATGCTTCCAAAGGTGAAATCAAAAGAAGATATAAAGGTAAAGTTGAAAAAGATGTTAAAAAAGGTAAAACTATTAAAGGTGTCTCTAGATTAGATAGGAAAAATAATATTAGACAGGTCCGTTTAAAGAAAATTGCAGATTCTTTAGAGATAAGGAAATTGTTCGATGGGGCTAATGGTGCTGAAAAAATTATTACTGTCATACCATTGGCTTCTGATGTTCTACCTACTGATATTTTAGCCCAATTGTTGCAATCATTTGCAGACGATATTACGCCAGAACAACAAGAAAGCTTAGCAACTTCTCCTTCCATTACCAACGTACATATTAAAAATTTCAAATCCAATTTAAAATTTATTATTCCTGATATGAGTAATTTCTTGAATATTTTAGACTGTGCCAAAGTTGCTGATTTTGTTGTATTTGGTTTAAGTGGTGTCTCTGAAATTGATCAAGAATTCGGTGAGCAAATTATTAGAGCTTTGGAATTGCAAGGTATCTCTTCTTATATCGGTGTAGTTACTAATTTATCAAAAGTTCATCCAAAGGAAAAGTTTCAATTGGATGTTAAACAATCTTTGGAATCTTTCTTCAAGCATTTCTTTCCTAACCAAGATCGTATTTATAATTTAGAAAAACCATCCGAAGCTTCAAATGCTTTAAGACTATTATGTCAAAGATATCCACGTTCTGTAGGTTGGAGAGATAATAGAGGTTATTTGATTGCTGACAATATCGAATTCCAAGATACCGACAACTCAAATGGTTCAGAAATGGTAAACTTAACTGTAGAAGGTACTGTTCGTGGTACTGGTTTCGATGTTGGCAGATTGGTGCATATCCCAGGATTAGGTGATTTCCAATTAAATGGTATTGAAAAATTAAGTAGCTCAATGAGGAAGAAAAAGGTTAACCCAAAGACTGATGATGTATTGAATGACTTAGATAATGATTTGAACAATAGGTTCTCCCCAGACGGAAATAGAGATACTCTAGAGGAATATGCTCCACAGGATCTAGAACTAGAACAATGGTCAGATGAGGAAGATTTCGAATATGATAACTTAACTGCTGCAAGATATGATGACCACGGGTTCTTACCAGGTAGAGAACAACAAGCAAGAAAGATCAAAGTTCCAAAGGGGACTTCTGACTATCAAGCCAAATGGTATTTAGATGATGTCGTCGAAGTTAGTGATACTGAAGAAGTCGAAGATAATATTGATGAACAGGATTTAATGGATGAAGAAATAGAAATGGATGAAGAAGACAATATGGATGAAAATGTTGACGAGATACCTGATGATGAAGATACTCAAACCGAAGCCGCTGAGGAAATGTTTGAAGATTTATCTCCAGAAGAAGAAGAACGTCAATGGCAAGAATATAGATCATTGGAATCAGAAGATAGAGAATTCCCTGATGAAGTTGAATTAATGCCAACTGAATCTGGTGTTGATCGTTTAAAAAGATACAGAGGTTTAAAGAACTTACACAATTGTATTTGGAACTACGATGAAAAGGATCCACTTTGCCCACCAGAATACAAACGTTTATTAAGGATTGGTGATTACAAGAATGTCAGAAACAGAATCTTAAAGGAAAATAAAAAGAATGTACAAGTCATTTCTGGTGATCGCGTTAAATTATACATTAATTTCCCAAAACATTTACTTGAAAAAGTAACTGATCCAAAACAAATTTTATTCCCAGTTTATGGATTATTACTGCATGAACATAAGAACGCTATGGTCAACTTTTCTATTCAAAGATGGGAAGAATATGAAGAACCTGTTCCATCAAAGGAACCAATTGTCGTTCAATATGGTGTTAGGAGATATGTCATCCAACCATTATACTCCTCTGCATCAAACACTCCAAACAACGTTCACAAGTACGAAAGATTCTTACATCAAAATACCGTTTCCATTGCTACCTGTATGGCACCAGTGGATTTCACTCAATCTCCAGCAATTTTCTTCAAGCCAAATGCTAACGATCCAAAGGGTATAGAATTAATTGGTTCTGGTACATTCTTGAATGCTGACCATACAAGAGTGCTGGCCAAGAGAGCAGTCTTGACTGGCCATCCATTCAGATTTCATAAAAAGGTTGTCACCGTACGTTACATGTTCTTTAACCCAGAAGATGTCGAATGGTTCAAATCTATTCCATTGTTCACTAAGACTGGTAGATCAGGTTTCATCAAGGAAAGTTTGGGTACCCATGGTTACTTCAAAGCTACATTCGATGGTAAACTATCTGCACAAGATGTTGTCGCTATGTCGTTGTTCAAACGTATGTGGCCAATGACATCCTTGCCATGGAACGGTGAACAACAATAATTTTAATAATAAGTTAATCAATTCAATCCATCTACAACAAAAAATCAATACCACAAATCAAAGGTAGTGTATTGAAGGGGATATAATTAAAATTACCTTCGATAGACAGTGATATATATTAGAATAATTCCAGTATATAGATAGATCAACCTGTACAATAAGCATGTAATATCACAATCATCTTTTATTAGAATAGGTAACGTTCTTGGCCTACTAATAGTGGTAAGGTAAATATCCAACACGGTCACATGACTTTGCTGATATTCTGAATTAACAGAAGATAAGAGAAGCCATCAAAAGTATAAATATAGGCAAATCAAAAAAATAAAATAAAAATACAATTTAAGCATCTCCATATCTAGGTGCTAGAACATCAAATAGTATGTTATCCAATCATCTTGGGAAAGTGTGGACACTAATGGTAAGGCTAAATATCGTGAATATTAATCGCATCGCGTCACATTTATTATAATCTATAAGACAAAAGATTGTAATACAAAATCAAGATATGAAACGTTAAATTATATTAACTGATAATCATTGATTAATGTATATCACTAATTGGAATAGATAAATGAATAATCACATATAATGTCAAAAGATACATCATGTGGAAATTAGCTGTCACATGACAGAATTACCCTGCTTTTACAATAAATAAGTTCAAAATTATAGTGTTTGATAATCATTATTAACGACATATTAAAAAAATTTTAATGCTATTGATCTTTAGCTGAGTTCATGACAAGAATAAAATCGATGAGCTTCAAGATAGAAGGCATATATATTATATATATTAAATATAATGACTTGTTGAATCATTGATTAAATTTATATAATAGGGGTATTTTATAGATACATTTTAATTTCTAATACTGTAAAAGTGGTGTGACCAAATATCTGTTAATCAAATGCGTAATTTGATTACTTTAAATAGTGGTAAACTAGTTCCTACTGCTAGTTTAGCAGCGGAACTCGATCAACCTTTTGAATTAATTGACAGTATATTCGACACTTTGACAGATAGCATAACATGCGTTTTAGCAGATATGTCTCTAGGTCAACTAGAGGTTCAACAGTTTATGAAAGACGGTACCAAAAATGTATTGGCTTCTTTTAGTATTCAAACATTTGATGATAAAATTTTATCATTTGCACATTTTGCTGATTATAATCAATTGGTATTTGTATTACGTAGTGGTGATATCATCACTGCTACTTATGATGCACAGACCTATGATCCTCAAATGACAGTAGTCGAAATTGTAGGATCAATCGAAACTGGCTTAGAGGCAGCCGCTTGGTCTCCAGATGAAGAAACTCTAGCTATGTTTACGACTGAAAAGACAATTGTTTTACTATCTAAAATGTTTGAACCAATTTCAGAATATACTTTAGTAGATGAAGACTTAAAGATGTCTAAACATGTTAATGTGGGTTGGGGTAAAAAGGAAACTCAATTCAGAGGTAAAGGTGTACGTGCAATGGAAAGAGAAGCGTTAGCAAGTTTAAAGGCATCCGGTTTAGTAGGCAATGAATTAAGAGATCCAACAATGCCATATGCCGTAGATTCTGGTATCATTTCCGATTTAGATAACCGTGAAATTAGTATTTCATGGAGAGGAGATTGTGAATATTTCGTGGTGAGTTCAATTGAAACAGTTAGTGATCCAAGTGAAGATTCCAATAACTTAGAAAGAAGAGTTTTAAGAGTATTCACAAGAGACGGTGCCTTAGATAGTGCTTCTGAGCCAGTAGATTATATGGAGAACAACTTGAGTTGGAAACCCCAGGGTTCTTTAATTGCCTCTATCCAACGTAAAGATTTTAATACTGAAGAAGAATCGTTAGAATTGATATTCTTTGAAAGAAATGGTTTAAGACATGGTGAGTTTAGTACTAGACTTCCACCTAACGAAAAGGTAAGGCAATTGTGTTGGAATAATAACTCTGAAGTATTGACAATAGTTCTGAATGATAGAATCCAATTATGGACAACCAAAAATTATCATTGGTACTTAAAGCAAGAAATTTATGGTGAAAATATCCAATTTGCTAAATGGCATCCTGAAAAGGACTTCAGTTTGATGTACGGTAACTCTAACTCATTAAATATTGTCGATTTTGCATTTAAAATGATCCAAGGTCCAACATTAGAGCCATTCGACAATGGCACAACTCTGGTAATTGACGGTAACACTATTAACATTACCCCATTAGCTGTTGCCAATGTCCCTCCTCCAATGTCATTCAGAGACTTCGAAACGCCTTCAAATGTCATCGATGCTGCTGTTAATTTATGCAATGAAGTATATGCTGCGTTGAATAAAGATTTTGTATACATCGCATCAGTTTCAAGCTTTGAAGATATGAAAAAAGGAAAACATCCAGATATTAAATGTGAATATTCAAAACTTGAATTTGCAAATGAAAATGATACCTTACGTCAGGTTGCATTTATTAATGATTCCGTAATTGCAGTTTTATTCGACTCCAACAATGTTTCTAATATTGCGTTAATAGAAGTTCAAGATGCCTCTCAACCTTTAGTAATTAATGTAATCCCAATAATGGGAAAGGTCGTTCTTATTAGAAGCTCTTTTGATTACAATCATTTAGTCTATGAAACAAGAGATGGTACTGTAATGCAATTAGATTTTGAAGGAAACTCGGAAATAATAACCAAGTTTCCTCAATTATCTAGAGATTTCAGAGTTAAAAGAGTTCATAATTCACAATCATTAGATGATAACCAATGGAGTACATCAAGTTCGGAGTTAGTTGCATTTGGTTTAACAAGCAATGGTAAACTTTATGCAAATGATGTTCTAATAAGCTCTGCTGTGACATCTATTGAAATTACTGATTCTATGTTGTTGTTTACAACTGCTCACCACAACTTACAATTTGTTCATTTAAACAGCACCAGTTTTAAACCATTACCTTTAGTCGAAAACAACATTATTGATGAAAGAATTCGTGCAATTGAAAGAGGTTCTATTTTGGTTTCTGTCATTCCATCTAAATCTGCAGTTGTTCTACAAGCTAGCCGTGGTAACTTAGAAACAATTTATCCAAGAATCATGGTCTTATCCGAAGTTCGTAAAGATATTCTAGCTAAAAAGTATAAGGATGCTTTTATTTGTTGTCGTACAAACAGAATCAATTTAGATATTCTTCACGACTATGATCCTGAATTGTTTTATCAAAACTTAGAACTATTCATCAATCAAATTGAAAAAGTTGACTACTTAGATTTGTTCATTTCTTGTTTAATCGAAGAAGATGTTACAAAAACAAAATACAAAGAAACTTTGTCACTATCAATTGATGAAGCTTATGAAGTAGCTCCACCACCTCCAACTGAAATGCAATTGTATATGAAGAAGAAAATGTTTGATCCATCTACATCAAAAGTTAACAAGATTTGCAAAGCAATGTTAGAAGTTCTATTGAGTAAGCCAGAATATAAGAAGAAATATCTTCAATCTATCCTAACTGCATATGCTTCTCAAAATCCATTACAATTAGAAGATGCCTTGAAGTTGATTAGTGGATTGGAAGATGCTGATGAAAAAGATAATAGTGTTACCTATTTGTGTTTCTTACAAGATGTCAATTTAGTTTACAAAGTAGCTTTATCTTTGTATGATATAAAGTTGTCATTATCTATTGCTCAAAAATCACAAATGGATCCACGTGAATACCTACCATTTTTACAGAATCTATTTGAACAAGAGCCTTTACGTTGTCAGTTTATTATAGATGATTACCTGAAGAATTTTGAAAAGGCTCTACGTGATTTAATTGAAATCAACAAAGATGGAGCCACAGTTTCTGACGAACTAATTGAATATATTAAAGCGCATGATTTATATAAGCCTGCTTTGGCTGAATATAGACATAATACTGAAAAGCAAAATTATATTTACGCAATTTTTGCCAAAAGTTTGTCATCTCAACAAGAGTACATTGAAGCTGGTATTATATATGAAATGTTAGGAGACTATAAAGAGGCTTTAAATGCTTATGTATTAGGCAAGAAATGGCGTGAAGCTTTGACATTAGCAACCCAACATTTCCCATCTTTGGTTGACGAAACAGCTAATGATTTGATTTCCTCATTATCATTCGATCATAAATATGTTGATGTAGCAGAAATTTACTTACAATTTTTGGACAATGTCGAAGAAAGTATGACAAACTACTGCAAAGCTTATCATTATGATACTGCAACATTGATAGCTGCAAAATATAACCGTATTGAACTCATAGAAAAGGTTGTAGACTCTGGTTTGGGTGATGGTTTTGCAGTTGTTGCTGAATTGTTAGCCGACTGTAAGGGACAAGTAAATTCCCAATTGAAGAGATTGAGAGATTTGAGAACCAAAAAAGAAGAAGATCCTTATAGTTTCTATGGTGAAGAGACAGAACAAGCAGATGATGTTTCTATAGCTCCTTCCGAAACCTCTACCAAAGAATCTTTCTTCACCAGATATACCGGTAAAACCAGTGGTACTGCAAAGACAGGTGCTTCAAGACGTTCTTCTAAAAACAAGCGTCGTGAAGAACGTAAGCGTGCTCGTGGTAAGAAAGGTACTATATATGAAGAAGAATATTTAGTCAAATCTATTGGAAGATTAATTGAAAGAGTTGAACAAACTACTCCAGATGCAGTGAGATTAATTGCTGGTCTTTGTAGAAGAAACATGAGGGAACAGGCATATCAAATTCAAAAGAATGTTGTTGAATTACTAGATATGCTAAAGAAGAACGTTGTTGAGATATATACAATTAGTGAAAAAGATAGAGAAAGAGTAAATGATAATGGTGAAATCTATTATTTACCTGAAATTCCAGCACCTGAGATTAAAGATTTCCCAAAAAATAAGACAATTGATTACTGAAAGGTGTAATTGTCCTGTTTTTTTTTTACTCTTATTACTCAATTGTGTATTCATTATATTTCATTGTCGTCATTTCATTACTGCGGAAGTAAACATTTACATGTAAATTTAAATTTATAAAACTATTTATCAGTCCTTGAAGCATATAAACCATCTGTATAATAGTTATTTTCAACTTTTTTTTCATGTTGTAGAATTATTTTTTCAAAGCTTAGAAATGCTCCCTTTAAAGCATAGGTAACTGCTTCTTTTTTAGATTTACTATAGCTCTCTCCCTTGAATGGAGTTGTAGCAATTCTATTACTAGTTTGTATTGTGTTTGTTCCATCTTTTAAAGTCAATTTAATTTTTGCTTCTGATCGAACAGTGAATTTTGTTTCATATTTACTATCATTAATATCGCTAGTCGCCACTTCATTACATTCCAAAGCTTCTAAACCTAAAACTTCCATTTTCCAACCATCATAGCCGAATACTTCATTGGCAAATTGAGTCAAGACATGACCAGGCATTAATTGCACTAAATCTAATTTAGGATATCTACTATTATGATAAAATCTATATGAATATTTTTCAATTTTAGCCTGTAAACGCCCAATCCTCTGTACTGACCAATTACTGGCAGGTCTTCCATTCCAATCTTCACAGACATTGAATTCTCTAAGATCAATTCCAGGACCTGTTTTAAATTCAGTATTGGTGTATTCTATATTATGCATTGAGTAGGCACTCATTGTTTCCCGCTCTGTATTATTCTTTCTTCCCTCAACTTAAAGATAACGAGTTTCAAAAACTAATTGAAACTAATCAACTGTCCTTAATGAAATCCAAGAATAATTATTCTAAAGATTACATCGCTGTCACAGTGCACTTTATCCCCTCTTATCTCATCTCATCACTTAAATTAATCAATCTAATCTTCTAGATCCAAATTTGATACATTGATTTTTAGAAATTACCCGGATTTGGATATTTTGTTGGCAAGATCATCCAAATGAGTAAAAATATAAATACCAAACACAAACTTAAAGGAAAGTTGAACACTTCTTAAACAGCTTGAGATGAACTCCTAATTGAATAAATAGGACTCCAAGAAAAGGTAATATATTTGTAATACCTTCATTAACGTTTTTTTTGATTCAGGAAGTGAAATGGTTATTTAATGATTAGTGGAGAAGAAACCTAGTATAACCCTTTTATTTAAGTAAAATGTCACAATATGATACAGATGTCAGGTAAAGAGGTAGATCACTATTCAGTATTAAAATTTAAACAGCGTTTTAACATCAAGTGTGTTGTGCAGGGTTGATATTTTATTGGCGGGGATTTAGTGAACTTTTACCATGAAGAAAGTTGTATTCTTCAAGTATACAAGATCTTTTAGCCTGTGTGAGAGTATGAGAAACTAGAGAATTAATGTCTGGTTTATATTATAACACAGTTCATTCGTTATCACTATATCTTTAAAATAAGAACGCTGAGAAATCACAATTAGTGACTAATTTATTAAGAACAAATATTTATACATATTTTGCTAGTTTGCCGCTGAAATCACGTGTATTAAAATTTCACACTGGCTATTAGATTGTTTTGAAGGTAATATAATAAATTGTTGAAGAGCGTTGGTGAACTTACTTAAAGCAACGAGTGCTATAAAGCACATATGACACTACATCAGCTATATTGTTATTGGCTCTCAAAAAAAAGAATATTAATTATATATCATTTGTTATCCTCATCGAATTCCAGTTCTGTGATCACATGTAGAGTCATTCCACTACACATGTATATCATTGTTAACGATAATCAAAGTTAATTCTCTAATTAAGTTTTGTCTATTGTATTATTTTTTTTTGTTTTGGAATCGTGTTTGCAATAGCTTCATATTATTTAGGATACGATTTAAAAATTGGTATACAAATTCACAGTTTTAGCATTATAAGATAACAAAAAGTTAGGAAATATATTTCAATTTCAACAGCCAAGAAGAGATCAATTGCATAGAATATTCCCGATAATTAGTATTGATGGATTTGATTCAGGGGATTATTCAACCTCCAAGGGTTCAGACAGCGGATGAAACAATTCCAACATTGTGTGATCGTCTCGAAAATGGTACTCTAATTAGTGATAGAAGATCTGCTATCTTGGCATTGAAATCATTTAGCCGTGAATTCAGAGAAACTGTAATTGCTTCTGGTTTGAAAACTTTAATCAATACTTTAAAAAGAGACTCTATGGATGAAGATACTGTCAAAGCTATTTTAGAAACTTTGTTAATTCTTTTCATCAGAGGTGATGGTAATGATGATTTAACCAGAAACTGGATTTCTTTGCAATCTAGAATGCAAAATGGTAAATACCCTTCTCCATTGGTAATGAAGGAAGAAAAAGAGCATGTAGATCAATTTTCAATGTGGATAGCTGACGCTTTAACACAAAATGATGAAATGGTCCATTTACTTATAGATTTCTTAAATATTGAAAGCTTCCATATCAAATTGTATGCAACTCAACTTTTAGAGGCAGTAATTGCTACTAGACCTTCGAGATCTCGTGAAGCAATTACTTCATTACCAATTGGTGTTTCCTCGATGGTTTCCTTATTAGATGATATTCATGAGCCTATACGAGATGAAGCAGTCTTATTACTGATGGCAGTAGTAAATGATTCGCCTCATGTCCAAAAACTAGTAGCATTTGAGAATATTTTTGATAGATTATTTTCAATCATTCATGAAGAAGGTGGTTTGCGCGGTTCTTTGATTGTTAATGATTGTTTGTCTTTGATAAATAATATTTTAAAGTATAATAATTCTAATCAAAATTTATTTGTTGAAACTGGTAACTTGCCAAAATTAGCTTATCTATTAAGTGAACCTTTATCGGATACTGAAGAATTTTTTTGGAATGAACAAAGAATTAAAAACATTAACGCAGCACTGGATATTGTAAAGCTGACTGTAGAGCCAGGAAGCACAACGACAAGAAAACACCAAGATGCGCTACTAGATACAAAATTATTAATGGTAGTATTGCGGATAGCATTTCACTATAGCATTCCGAAAAAAGTCAGACCAAATGGTTTATTGACTGCCGCAGATATGATAAGGGATAATGAAATTGCTCAAACAGAATTTGGTAAAATAGATGTACCATTTTTTGATCCATCTTTACCACCAGACGTTACTCAAAAAGATGTTAAATTAGTTCCTGTTGTCGCATTATTATTGAATTGGGCCTTATACGCAAACTCTGTTCACACATTCACGACGAGGGCAGCATCTGTTGTACTGTTAAAATCATACCTAAATGGGAATCATGAATTGCAAACAGAATTTTTGGAGAGGCAAATTCGTTTATACAGTAATCCAACTGAAAATGATGAAGATGCTGTATTGTTACCAAATTTTAAATATAATATATTTGAGGCCATATTAGATTATGATCCGGACTTGAAGTTAAACCCATATAAAATTTACTTTTCTTCAGATATTTTTATGTTTTTCTTCGATCCTGAGAATGAGAACAGTTCAAAATATCGAGATATGGCTAGGGAGGTAAAAACTGGTGAAATTTCCGATGATGTGGATACACTCAAATCAATTCAAGGGATAAGCGAACTTTTATTAACCACATTGACCTCTGAAGATATTCGTATACCAATATCATATATATCTCTATTGATTTATTGGTTATATGGTGATTTCAATGCGGTAAATGATTTCTTAACTGACCGAGCAACTATACAATCATTACTATCATTTGCATATCAAATTCAAGGGGATGATATTACTGTAAAATGTCTGGTCAGTATGTTAATTGGTGTATCATATGAATTTTCTTCTAAAGATTCCCCGTATCCTAGAAAGCCTTATCATGAATTTATAACAAAAAGTATCGGTGTTGATAATTACTCATCTAGAATAAAGCAATTAAAGGATGATTCTCTCTTTTCAAAATTCGATCACGAAATCGATATTTTAAATCCAAATTTTGACGAATCTGGTTTACCCGAGATATACTTTACTTCATATTTCGTAGATCTCATCAAAACCAATTTTTATCGTTTGAAATCTGCATTATCTCATGATCCTGAACAAGAATCGATTGCGAAGATTTCATTTGAAACATTTGATGAACTACAAAGAGAATGTTCAAAACTTAAAGGTGAATTAAATGACATGTTTGTTTCAAAGGGGGATGTTATAAATGAACTAGAATTAAAGGTTGAAGAATTATCTAATAAAAGTAAAAATTCTATATCAGACTATGAATCAATAAAAAATGAATATGATATATTAAAGAATAATTATGAGGAAAAGGAGGGGGAATTTGAATCGGTTTCTAAAAAGCTAGATGAACTTTTAACTGAAAGAGAAAAATTAAATTCAGTAACATCTGAACAATTAAAAAAATTGGAACAGAATAAAAGCGATCTTGAAAAATGTAAACTTAATATTGAGAAGTTAGAAAACGAATTGAAAGAGGTAAAGGAAAGGAAAGACAATGCAGAGAATGGTGTAAATAAAATGAATAAAGAATTGTCAAATTTGAGCAAAGAAAAAGAGCAATTAAGAATTGAACAAGGTAAACTAGAAAAAAAAATACAAGAACAAATTTCGGTATATGAAGATTCAAAAATAAAATTCAACCAAGAATTAGAATCAACTGAAAAACAAATAACTGATCTGCAGTCTAATCTTGAATCTAAAAACACAGAATTGGACAATTTGAACAAAGAGAAGTCGGGGCTCATGAAAGAATTGACAGAATGGAAAGCAAAATTTAAGAGTCATGATGCATTGGTACCAAAGCTTACCGAAAAATTGAAATCATTGGCAAACAGTTATAAAGAATTACAAACAGAACGTGATAATTATTCCTCTCAATTAATTGAAATAAATAAAAACAAAACCTCCGAATTATCTTCGTTATCTGAGTCCATTAGTAATTTAAAAATAGAAAAAGACAAGATTTTAGATGAAAAATCTAAGTTGATAAATAAGGTTTCTGAGTTAGAGTCTCAAATTACAGAAAATTGCAAAATATTCGAAGAAGAAAAAGAAAAGTTGATATTATCTAAAGATGAACTTGAAGAGCTCGTAATAGATTTGAATGAACAATTGAAAGAGTTAGAAACACAGAAAGAAACCACTAGCAAAAATGCTGACGAACTTAATAAATCTATCGCAAACCTGAATACCCAACTTAAGCAAAAGGATTCAAAATTGATTGAACTTGAAGAGTTAGTGGAGGTGACAAAAAATAATCTAAATGATTCTGAGTCCCAAGTTTCTAATTTAATAGCTAAGATTTCTGAGCTTGATGAAGAGAATAAGAGCGTAAAATTAGAAGTTGAAAAATTAGAAAATGAAATAACCGAAATCAAGAATTCTCATAAATCTGCACAAAAGGAAACGGATACATTACAAACAAAGCTTGATGAAACTGAATTACTGCTTCAATCTTCTAAAGAAGAAATCTTGTCATTGAAAAATGAATATAGCTCAACCTTAAGTGATAAAGAGAATCTGGAAAATTCTGAAAAAAAATCTTCAGAAAAAATTGAAGAGTTAGAGAAGAATTTTTCAAATCTACAAGAACAGTTCGAAAATATAACTGCAGAAAATAAATCATTAAAAGAAGAATGTTCAGGTACTGAAGAAAAGTTTAAAGATGTAAATGAAAAACTCGATCAATATGGTGAAACGATATCTAGTCTTTCGGATGAAAAGGATAAACTAAATGGAATTATTGACGATAAAGAGAAAATAATTTCGAACCTCAATGAGAAGCTTGAAAGTATTTCGGAAGATATAGATATTATTGAAAAAGCCAAAAACTTGTTGGAAGAAAAATTAGCAACGATGACTTCAGAATTGAATGATAGCGAAAATGGTTCGTCAGAATTACGTTCTCTATATGATAGTTTAAAAATAGAATTTGAAGAACTTCAAAAGACTAATTCTGATAAATCTGCTAACTTGAAAGAACTTGAGAATAAACATACATCTTTAACTGAAACTCAAGAAATATTACTGGAAGATAAAAAGAAAATGGAATCTTCTATTAATGACTACGTTAAAATAAAAGACGATTTAGAAAAGGAAAAAGAGGATTTGCTAAATAAATACAATGTTCTAGAAGATAAAAAGGATAAACTAGAGATTATACTGGAAGAAAACAACAGTTCTATTAAAGTATTGGAGCATTCAATAGATGCCTTGAAAAAGGAAAATGAAATATACAAAAATGAAATTCATGATATGAAGCTTCAAATGGAATCATCTAATTCCGAATATAAAAATAAGGCTGGTGAACAGGAAAAGAAAATATCGCGGCTGAAAGAGGAATGTAATAAGCTGAAAAACTCTTACGAAGAAAAGATCGAAAAATTAGAAGTGGAATCAAAGAATTTAAGCTTAGGACATGATACTGAAAAGAAGCAATTTGAAGATAAGATAACATCGCTGAAGCAAGAGATAATCTCTATTGAAAAATCTAAGAAACAAGATGAAAAGGTTTTGAAAAATCAAAAGAATACTTTACAAAAAGAATTAGAAGAATTAAAAGATCAATTTACAAATTCAGAAAATGAATATATAAAGAAGTTGGATAATTTTCAGAATGAAATTAATAGTGTTAGGAAAGAAAAATTAGATATTGAAGCAGTACTGAACAGTAAAATAGAGACTTTGAAGGCAGATTTGTCTAAATCGGAAGAAAAATCTCTGATTTTAGAAAAAAGTAACAAGGAACATTTGATAAAAATGGAAGTTATACAAAAATCTTTAGAGAAACAGAACAAAGAATTAGATATCTTAGGAAATGAAAAGGATACTTTGACTATGAACCTAAATAATGAAATAAAAGGCTTAAAGGAGGAGATAAACAGTAAAGTTGATCAAATTGGAAACTTAAAAACTGAATTGAATACTGTCTCAGAGAATATGGAAGATATCCAGGTAAGATATGATCAACTGAAAGAAGAAAAGTCAGAAATATCTGATAAATTGATAGAATCAGAGGAAAAATTGAAAGAAAACTTCTCGAGTATTTCTGATCTAAATTCATCGGTTATATCATTAGAAGCAAGTATTATTTCAAAGGATGAAGAATACACTTTACTCAAGAAGGAATTTGAAGAAGTTAAGATTTCAAAACAAGAACTTGATAATCAAAAAGATAAATTACTTGAAGAATACAGCATTATGAAAAGAACTAATGAAAGTAAACTAAAAGATTTGAGAAATGAGTTGGATTCTAAAATTATTAAATTTGACAAAGAAAGGAAATTATTAAATGAAGGTTCTGATAATATAGCTCAAGAATATTCTGAGAAGGTTACGAGTTTAGAAGAGGAATTGAGAAATCAGAAAATATATTCTGATGACAAAATATCTGAATTGGAAGAAAATATTAAATCCAAAAATAATGCCCTGACAGAAAAATCGAATTTATTACAGAAAAGGCTAGAAGAAATCAAGGAATTGGAAAGCACGTTATCAAAATATAAAGCTGATCTAGAAGCCACGATGAAAAATTCTGATCTTAAAAATGATGAATTTGAGAATGTGTGTAAAGAATTATCAGTCAAAGAAAATGAAATTAAAAAAATTGAAGAGATATTATCTTCGAAAGAGGACCTTATTGCAGAAATTGAATCTCAAAAAGATAATTTAAAAGATGAGCTTAATGAAAAGTCATTATTGTTAGATAAGAAAGAGTCACAATTAGAGGCGTTCCAAGAAGATGTTGAAGTTCAAAAGGAAAATTTACAGAAAAAAATTACAGAGTACGATAATCTTCAAAAATTAATGTCACTGGATAATAAAAAACTAGTCAAATGCGAAAAACAAATTGAAGACTTGGAATTGAAGTTAGAATCGAGCTCGAACCATTTGAAGGAACAAGAAGGGAAATATGAAAAGTTGGAATTCGAGTCTGGTGAAAATAAGAAATTGATTTCAGAAAAGGATGAATTGATTCAAACATTACAATTAGATATATCTAATAATAAAGATGAAATTCAAAAACTATCAGATAAAATTTCAACCCTCCAAAACAATTCTGAAAATACAGAACTTACTTTAGAAGAAAAAGAAAAAATGGTAGATGAATTAAATTCAAAGTTACAAGAGAAAGAGGCACAAGTTGAAACTTTAGAGTTAGATCTAAATAAATTGAAAGAAACATTGGATAAGGAATTAGAAAGCTCATCTGAACTTCAAATTGCACATGATAATCTAAGAGATGAAAACATAATCCAGAAACAAAAGATAACCGAACTAAAAGTTAAAATTGATGACTCCGAGAAGGATTCGCAAGTTATAATAGATAATATGAAGGAAATGGAGGAAAATATAATGGATCTAAGAAATGATCTGTCCTCTAAAACAATACAAATTGAAAAAGTCAATGAAGATTTGTCATCCAAAAATTCAGAAATTGAACAGTTGAATAAGAAACTTGCTGAAAAATGTGCTGAATATGATTCTATTAAAAGTGAATTAGTTGCTTCTTCAAAATTGTCAGAATCAGAAAAAAATGATATGAAACAATTAAGTGATGAAATTAATGAATTAAAAGAACAACTTGAGTTGAAAAATGAAAACTTAAAGAAGGTTACCTCTGACTTACAGATTGCAAACAACACTTCAGATAAATACAATGATGAGCTTAAGGTAGCCAACAATACAATTCGTGAAATTGAATCAAAAATTCCTAATTTGCAAAAACAATTGGACTTGAAAGAAATTGAATATAACGATACATTATCTTCTAAAAAAGATTTAGATAAAAAACTTGATAACTTTTCAAAAGAGTCTGAAATATTATCAAAAGAAGTCAAATCCTTGAAGAAGGAGAAACTTGATCTAGAGAAGGAAAAGAATGATTTAATAGTTGAGTTGGATAAATACAAAAATGATATTATCGATTTAAACAATACACTGAAAGAAAATGAAAAGAACGGTTCTGAAGTTGAAACTGAAATAATTGGATTAAAGGATAAAATTGAATTCTATAAGCTTAATGTTAGCCAATTGAATGAAGAAAAGGGGAAATTAGAATCTGATATTAAAACATTGGTTGGTGAGAGGGATGATAAGTTAAAATCATCTCAATCTGAAATTATAGAGTTGACTAACAAATTAGAAAGCTTTAAAGACATATCTGTCGCATATGAAGAATCCAAGGTAGAATCTGATGGTCTTAAGAATAAACTTTCTGAAATTGAAAAATCGTTAGAAGAATCTAATGAAAATGTCGATTCGGCAAATAAGGAAATTTCAGACTTAAAAGTTATGAACGACAAATTACAATCGCATAATTTAGAACTAGAAGATAAATTTCAACAATTAAAGAATGATACAACAGAAACTAATAGGAAAATCCAAGACATTAATAAATTGAAAGAAGAAGAATCGAGCAAAGCTGAAGAAAAAATTCGTTCATTAACTGAGGAGATCGAAAAGCTAAAAAATGACTTCAAGAAAAATGAATCAAAAGCTCCTGATACTTCTGAAATTGATGATTTGATGCTGTTAGTTTCTGATTTGGATGAAAAGAATTCTAAATATAAGGCTAAATTGGAGGAATTGGGGGTTGAATTATCGTCCGATGAAGAAACAGAAAGTGATGATACAGATGAGGAAGAAGGTTAATTTTTACCTAATTGAATGAACCTTTATAATTTAAATCTTATTATCTTTTTATCAAAGTTAAATAAGCCAACATATGCTTATATATGTATGTATGTGTATGCGTATGTATCTATATGTGTGTAAATTGTGACATTTTAAATTTAGTTAGATGTAAAGAATAGTATATGTGTATTACACTTCCAAATTGCTTTTGTAGATCCTTCATTTTCTAATTATTCAAGAATGGTAATTTGAGTTGTTTCTTCTGTCGGGATCTCGGATTCTTTGGATGTTTACTCCATTTCTTTCTATATCAGCAATTCTTTCAATATCTTGGGGTGTGATAATAATGGTTTGGGTCTTGTACAAATCATGCAATTTCTTAATGATTAATTTTATACCCACAGTACGATTAACTTGATCCATGAAAACATCGAATTCATCAAGAGCGATGATTCTAGACTTCATTGGTTTCCATGTTGCAAGCAACAAAGCCATTTGAGAAAAGGATTTTTCTCCTCCTGAAAGTGTATCTACCGATCTTAATTTCGATTCTGAATTTAAACCAACATCTATGTCTAATAATTTTTTTTCAGTATCGAATACTAATCTCCCTTTAAAATTTCTGACCTTCAAAGATGATATAAAATCGCCAAGAGCTTCTGTAAACGTCACACTTCTTGTCTCTGTATAAGTCTGTATTCTTTCATTAATAGAAGCCTCGAGCTTTATCAACGCATCTTCTACTTCATTATATTTTTGATATGCTTTGGTATATTTTTCTTCACATTTTTCGAAGTTGGATATTATTTCTTCATGAGTTAACCCACTTCTTTTTTCTGATTCTTGAATCATTGTTGAAATATTTAGTAATTGTTTTTTTATTTCGGTTTGATCCTCAGGTAAATTTGAATTCACTGATTCCTCTTCTGTACAAAAAGTTAATGCTTTATCAATTTGATTACTGATACCCTCTTCAAGAACCTTAATATTATCTTTGATTTTTTCAATTTTTGATTGATAATTGTACATCCTCTTATCGATATCTTTAATTTCTTCCTCATAAGAACTTATTGCGGAGCTACCTTTTTCAATTCTACTTCTTTTTTCGCTCAATGTCTGCTTTGTTATCTCGAAGGCCTCTTTAGTAGCATCTAACCGTTGAAAACATGGTTTAGATTCCTCTAATATTTCATTTTTGTTACTTTCCAATTCTTTCATAACATTGTCATAACCATTAAGAGCAAGTTTTTCCTGATCAAGTTCAGATTTTTTGGCATTAAGCTTACTGGCATCTATGACCTTACTGTTTATGATTGTTAACCTCTTAATCTCATCTTCGTTCTTGTTGTATTTTACGGCATATGACCGTATTTCTTCTCTTAATTTATCCTTTTCTAGTTTTATTGCCATTTCATTTAGTTCGATCTTTTTCTTCGAATTTAAAAATTCCCTTTCCATTCCTGAGATGACGTTAGCTAAATAAACGGTATCACTATTCAAGGAGCTAGTCCTTAAACGAGACTTTTCATCGTACTTAACAGTGTCAATCCTAAGACCAAATCCACTTATTTGACACCCCGCTGATTCTGTTCTACAAGTTAGGGCCATAATAACATTTTTTGGTCTTGATTTTAAAAAATTTCTTGCTTCTTCAGTGTTTTCAATTAACAAGATATTCTCAATTTTATGATTATCAACAATAAAATTTTCTACTACAGGTGATTTGAACTCTAAGGCATCTACTATTGTCGGGTATTTAGTTTTGGCAGTTGATTGGTCATAATTAAAGGAATCGTATGAATAATTAATGAATGATAGTCTTTTTAACAATGCATTCTTAGACTTTTCTCTTTCTGCTATCAATCTCTTTAAAAGTGCTAGATCTTCAAAATCCGAAACAATAAAGGAATTTAATATTTGACCAAGGAATTTTTGAATCGGTCTAGCCCATTTTTCATATCCATGTTTAACAGAGATGTATGAACCAATTGGACCTATTGGTTCAACCTTGAATCTTTTAGAATTTTTTCTAATAACATCTACGGCAATATTTACTGGTTGATTAAAATTGTTTAAAAAATGATGATTACCTTGTTTTCCTCTATCTAGTTCAATTTTTTTTCTTTTAATTTCCTCCATTTGGAACTTTAACTCTTTCCTATTATTAGAAATCAAATTTTCATATTCAGTCTCTTTATCCTGTAACTGTGTGGTTAATATACTCCTTGATTCATCTATTTCTTTATTGCTTTCCTCTAATTTCAGCAATCTCGTCCTTAATTCATCCCTGTTGGTACCAGACTCATTCCTAGATTCCTCGTCAAGTTTTTCGATTGTACGTTCTAATACTTCAATTCTTGATTTAGTTCGGTTTATATTCTCTTTTACTTCTTCTTGTTTTTGGAGTTCCTTATCATATCTATTTTTAAAAGTACGTTTCTCTTCTTTTACTGTTTGATATTCATTGTCCTGCTGTGATTGTAAGTCTATTAATCTTTCTATATCATTGTCCAATACAACCCTATCAGAACGAAGCCTTTCTATTGTATCCTTTGTTGATTTCTGAACATCTTTAGATTTCCTAATATCCCTTTCAAGACTAGCAATTTCCTTTTCCAGAGTATGCACTGACTTTCTGTTATGGTTGATATCAATCCATAATGATTTCCCTTGTAATACTTTCTGTTCATTCAATAACGTGGAATTTTCACGAATGCTATTAAGTAAAGTTGTAGCCTCTTGATATTCTTTTCCAAGCTCTCCTAAGGTATCAGAATGGAATGACATATTGTTTCGAGCGTCCGATGTAATTTCTTTTGATCTATCTAAATTATTTTTAATTTGATTTAATAGAGTACCATTCATAAATAAATCATATTTATCAGACGCATTACTTGCAGTTAAAAAGCTTTTTGCCATATCTTGAGTAAGAAAAAACATTGAATTATTGACAGGAATTGAAAAATAATCTAATATATCTTGTAAGTCTTTCTTCTTGGAACTGATTTCAATACCTTCTATAGATTTTAAACTGAAACTAGCACCTGAATCTTTTTTAATGGTTCTTTCAATGATAATAATATCACCATATTGGTCATGTTTATAAGCAAAATCTTTACCATTGATATCTAAATCACCTTTGTTATTATCTAAATGTAAAGTCACTTTACTGGAATTACAACCTTTTCTAATCAATTCTTTCAATGATGAGCCTCTACTAGTTTCACTTGCTTTAACACCTAGAGCAACAATGATTGCAGTCAAGATTGCACTTTTACCACTACCATTATTACCAACAATGAAATTTAAATTTGGAGTTAATTCAACTGAAAAATTCTCATGACACATGAAATTTCGAAGTATAACTTTCCTAATATAACCAGGAGGTGGAGGTGGCTCATTTCTGTTCCCATCATCCTCATGAGGTTGACTACTAGAATCTAAAGTAGATGTATATTGGGTCATCACAGCAAAATTATGCCTTCTTCTTTTCTGTTTATGCTTCAAGTCAGCTTCATTCTGTTCAGCAGCCAGAGCAAGCAACTCATCATTGACCTCTTCAAGAGGTCTCTTTTCAATATCTCTGATCATGCTCTTTTGGTCAAGTTTATTTGTTTGGTTGTATCCTATCTGATATCTCTATATTCTTTTCACCTAATTGTAAATTTCTTTTATTAACCCAAAATAAGCCCAAAGGTATTTTTAAATATTAAATTTCTTCCTTATAGATCAACCAAGGATCCCCAGTTTTTAAATAAACCTTTTTGGGGCAATTTTTAATTATTTTCTAGAAGATGGATTTTGTTCTTTTATTCCTCCATAAATTAATTGTTGTGATTGGAAATTTCGCCAAATTATTTTCGATGCAAAGCTCATCGCCCATACATAACATGTGCAGCTGGTTGATGAACGTTTCAAGTTAAGGATGTTGATTCTGTTGGAAGAAGTATATAACTATGTATGTACTAGATATATGGATATGATGGATATGATTAAATATTATTTTCCACCTTTTGTTTCTGGTTAAAATCAACATATTTGAAGAATTAACGGTAAAACTATGGTTCGTTCTTATAATACTGTGATAAACTTTTCAAATAAGTGAACAAGAATATAGAAACGTTTGGGTATGGACTATCTGATAGCATAGATTGTAATAATTTTATTCTTATTTCATTGAATGTTTCGTTTTGTTGATTGTCTTTGATTAATTTCTTGAAATTTTCTTCATTAATGACGTCATTGTATGTGAAATAACTGATCTCTTCAGTTATCAAAGGTTTGATCGTTTCACTTGAGTAGTATGATAAGCTTGGGACACCTGTGATTGAAAACATGCTTTTTAGTTTATTCTCTATATCTGGTAGGTAAATGTTTTCTATTGTATTTTTCACCAATTCTGTTGGAATGTGGAACAGGTACTTTGAAGTTGAAATTTTATTCCTCCAGAGGTAATTTGTCAGATCTAAAATATATTGGTTTTGTCTTTGTACTTGTTTATTTGTCGATGCTTTACTTTTCAACAATTCTTTAGAATTTATCAAGTATAAACAACAGGAATCTAGAAGCAATGGATCGTCTATTGTTAATAACTTGTTCATGACATTGGGTATGATCATCAATTCATGAGCATTTCCAGTGGCACTGTTTTCGTAATCATATATGTTTAACACAATGCTCAGCATCACATTCACAGATATGATATAATATCTATTTTCAATTGAGTTTTGAAGGTGAGACACTAGCAGCAGTTTTATGTCGTTGAAGATTTCATACCCTTCACTTTCAATGGTGCCTTCAGTGGAATACCAATTTTTGATCATAAGTAATAATCCTTTGCATAATCTGGGAAATACTGTTCTAGTAGCCTTCGTTTGGTTGCTGAACCTACATCTAGTAAAAAATCTTAATAGAAGTTTTCTAAAATCAGTAATACTCTCTGGTTTAAATAATGGGAATATTAGATTAAAGAATGTAACAAAAATATTAGGATTTGAATTCATGAATTCTATTGTAAAAAACTCTTGGACAATACTTTCCAAAACATCTTCTTTTAAAATACAAAATCTAACCACATTTTTAAGAATGTTGAGTCTTTCCAGCTCAGATAAATTTTCATTATTATTGAAACACCTTTTCAACTGTACTGTGATGTATTTAATCGACTTGTTAGATAATTGGGGATCATCACCAGCTAATTTCAGTGCAGATATTTTAAACCCTGCTTGCGTTCCTATGTCAAATAAGAATTCTGGATTTTTGGGTACAACAATATTATTCCAATTCCATACTAATTTTTCAAATGTTCTAATATCCAATATAAACAGTTTGCTAGGAGGCACTTTCTGTCTATATTGGCTGACAACTATAGAGTTATCTTTATTCTTTAATTGTGAAAGGTATGATGAAATAACATCATCGATATATTTTAAGGGAAACTTATTTGGTGATGACTTGAATAAAACTTTTTTTAAAGCACTAATGAATTTTGAATCCAGTTCAAGATTCTGAATAGCTTTATAACTTCTCATATTTGTATTTATTCTTAACCTCAGACTTGATATTCTTGGTGTAGACCCTACAATTGATTCGAATCTATTCAATATCAATGTGGCCAACGCAGCTACATCTGGATAACCTGGAATAAATGCAATTTTCTCTATCAATGTAACTTTCCAAGATTTCACATCTTGTTTCGAATTAGTTGACCAAATTATAATATATGTCAACCAATATTGCAAGAAACTATATTTCCATAAATGTAGCCAAACCGATGGGTTTAAATTGCTCCTATCCTTTGGCAATAGAATAAAAACATGGACTAACCATTTACAAAGCTTGATCTGTACACTCTTGGGAGGTAGGATCCTATATGGATTTGTTACAGTTGGCGTTCCCAAATGATTAATTATCTCTAAAACCACCTCATCGTCTATATAATCATTCGGCAATAAACAATGATCTATAATGTAAACTTTTGTTGAAGCACTAATGGCAGTTGATTCGCAGATTAACCTAACCAGTAAATAAATCTGTCTAGCATCCAAACCCACAATTGGAGCATGATCGTATAATTGAGTCAACCATGCTTTTAATAATTGATGGGAAGTGTTTACAGTAGCAGTACTTAGCGAATTAACAACAGAATCAAGTATATTCGACATATCATACAGTGAAAACAAATAACCATCTAATATAATCCATCAATATACTGTTTTCTTACTCGTTCAATACCTTTCTTTGTCATATTCTCCAAGAATTGCTCTGAACTCATCGATATTTAATAGTTGATATAATGTTTATTATGGTAATTTTTCAATATTATGTATATTTTAGTAGCGATGAGATAGTAAAAATTAATTATGATAAAACCTTTAAACTATATAAAAGAGATATAAAATTATACAAAGATAAACATAGATCGATCTATTATTGAGCACTTTCAGTTATATAAGTGGTTTAAAAATGTCTTATTTCATTTTGGTAAGTTCGTACTCTAAATTTGAAGATATCAAATGTTATGATAAATTTAAAACTGTTATGTTTTTAAATATGCAATATACCTGTCAGATCGTATTCACATCTTGATCTGATGTATGGATCCAAAGTGGAGTAGTTATCTGATAGTCTAGCCATGCATTCTTTTCTTTTTTCGTTTATACTTTTAGATTCCAAAGTATCAGTAGTTTGAATCCAATCCACAGTTAAGTGATATAAATCATGGATAATCTTATCTCTTTCATCCATGATAGCCTTAAAAGTTTCTTTATCCTTTAGTTTAGTATCTGCAGAACCGTCAATTGGTATATACTCGTTTAATTTCAAATCGTTAGTACCATTTAAATGTTGTGGGATTTGGTCATTACTCATATATTTTGATAAATCTTTAACGTTGTATGTAAATTTAACCTTTGATGCAACGACAGGATCCAACCATGTTTTGACTACATTCCAAATAGGTGAGAATAACCATGGCGCATTGTGGATAATTAAATTTCCTAGATATTCAGGATAATGAGCCTCGAATATTTTAATCAAAAATTTGACAGGAGTGTAATCCATATTTGACATTGAAAAATCAGTCATATCGAATAGGATTGTAGCTGCTCTGTTAGGCTCTTTCATGAATAATCTGGTTTGTTCGATTATTAGCAATGCATAGTATTCCAATTCTTCTTCTGATTGATCTTTGCTGTAATGTAATTTAACTCTCACCATTAAAATTGGTCTTCCCTTTAAATCGTAACCACTATGAACAACTTTCTGCATTTCTAGATTTTTAATTAATCCTTCTTTCTTATGTTTATAGGCATAGCATTCACCGTGGTTAATAATTTCCACTGTATTAGCATCATGTACTCTCCAATGTAAAGAACGAACGAGCATTGATAGAGCTTTACCTTCATGCCATTTTCTTGCTCTTAAGAATCTTAAAATGAATGAATCAGGAGATTCAGTATTCAATAAATTCCAGAACAAACATTCAGACTCCTTTTTTTCTAAATGATATTTGGTGAAAGGGTTATGGGCAACCTCATGCTTATCATCATTTTTAGCAGATGAACTTCCACCACCCCAACCACCAAAGAATGAGGTGGACTTTTTTGAATCTGTTTTGGAATCACTAGACCTATTCTTTGCTATTAAAGAGACAACTTGAGAGTCATCTACTTCATTCCCCCAAAACTTCAATAAACTTGCCCAAACATGTTTTAAATATAATTCTTGTGTAGTATCTAACACTTTATTGCTTTCCCCACTAGAAGCTGTCATTGTTGCAAATTGGATCTGTTTTCAGTGTTTCGATCAATTTAGGACTATAGATCGTTATCAAATGTTCAAAATTAAGTAGTGCAATCGCAATGAAACACCTTAAATAATATAAAATACTGTGAAATACTGTCAAAATAAATGAGAGATGTGATATTGAAAAGATAAAGGTATATCTCTCACAAACCGGACAGATCGACTGAGTTGATGTAAACGACTAAGTGGTTCCAAAAAGTGAAAGAAAATTTTTGTATCTCGATGTAATCCAACTCTCACCCAACAAAATTATGTGATAGATATGAAAGTATATTATCAGTTCAAAAGTTCGAGAAAGGCTAGCAAAGAATGATAATTAACTTGGTTCAGATACCAACAAATTTCACTAATAGATCACTGCCACTTTAGCTCTCTTACGGAGTTTTCAAAGAAACCTAGGTAGGTATGGCGTTGAAGTTTATTACTTTCTTGTTTCTCAAATTAAATCCAAAGTAACAATTGTTGTAATCGAGTGAACTTGGTGATACTACTGTTAAAATCCATGTTTACCTCTGATGGAAATAATCCCTGTAGAATCCTATCTTGTTTCCAACGTCCATCATCCCTTTTACAATTCTCATCCATGTTAATTTTTACATCAACTTTTCAACTTCGTATAAGGAACGCCAACAACAGAAATTGAGAGAAACTCCGCAGAGACGATGTAATGCACCTAAAAGAAACGGTAAACGACGACTTGAAGTGAACCCAGACAGAGAACAAGTCAAAATTAAAACTCAAACCAAACCAAACCAAGCCAACAACGATGGGACTGATCAACAATTATATCAGAGGTCATAGAGTATAACTGTTTGGCAAGAGGGTTAGTTGTTGCTGTGTTCCACCATTATTAAAGATTATAGAATGAATTGGGTGTTCGATAATATGACGATAAAAGTTCTATTTAATTACTTGATGGTTGGTTGACTGTAAAGGTTAGCTGTATTCTACTTGAGATGGAGTAGAGATAGATATACCTGTATGTTTATATGACTTTGTCTATCTCTGACATTCAAAACATTAAAAACTATTCTTGGATATTTCCCATCATTTTGTTGTCTCTTTCTTCAGTTAACTGCTTGCGTACTTGATTGTTCACAGATGCCAATTGAAGAATGGAACACTGTTTTGGTAGAGTAATGTAGTGAGGTGGGACAATTTCATGATATTCGACAACTTGAAAATACTGATATCTAATGTTATAACTCGAATTAATTATTTTCCACTGAATATTGGACTGACATACACCTGGTACGGCAATTTCGCAGCAAATGCTACAATAATCTCTCTTGTGTGTTTGGGGAGATCCCTGATCTAAATTGTGAGATGTCAATAGCCAAATATACCAATGGATAAATCGATTATGTCAATTACTATCACCAATTGACTAAGTATAAGCTCTTTTAGGTTACTCACAAAGTTACTCGGTTCCTGAAATCAGGGCCCTCACTACAAATTCTTCCATAATTGAACCATATTAAATACAGGAAAACAGGTCCAAAATATATAGATCTACCCCATATCATCCCTATCAATACTCCAAAGTTCAATGTCATTTCCTTTGGATGATGAGCATTCGAAGCCTTGACTTCTTCCCTTTTATACTAAGTCATCGCATATATAATTTATTTCACATCTAAAAAGACATACAATTCATTCAAACGAACACTTGTTCAACTGATAAAAGAAGAGTTGGTGGAAGGTACAACGTTGTATATTGTGAAGACTACGATTGACAAGGGTTATTCTGGTTGACTACTTACTATTTGTTGTGATTGTGTGGTAAATTATACCAGATACAGTGTGATTATTGTTATACAGATGAGGGACAATTTTAATATTGAACACGATGGTATAACTTGTACTTTTGTAGAAACTCCGCCAAGCTATATTAAACTTGAACCAAATGAAGAGTTTTTGTATATCAAGAACTCAAAATATCATTTAGAGAATGGTATTGCGTGTATTTTAACTTATCCAAGTTCACTGAAATTGTACCATACTTTTAAGGAAAGAATAAAACATGAAAATATTCATAATTTAGCTAATCATAGGTTTGTGCTATTGCTTCATGGTATGCAATCTCATAAGAATGCTGTTTATCAACCTTTGTTGGCTTCGAAATTGTCAGATCTAGGCTACTTTACGTTAAGATTGGATTTTAGAGGGAATGGTGATTCTGAACCTTGTTCACACAACAAGACTGGGAGAAATATCAATATTGATTTAGAAGATATTGGGACTATATATAGTTTTATTAAGAACTCGAAAATATTTTTAAACCATTCACTCTCGTTCGATACAATAGTAGCACATTCTAGAAGTGTCATTTCAATGTTTCAATTTTTAATAGAAAACCCAACTATATATATTCCAAACTTGATAAACTGTTCTGGTAGATTCGATGGATTGACATTACTAGAACGGTTACAAAATAAACATCCACATTTAGAAAAAGAGAATGGGTTTTGGTGCACTTTATTGAGGTATGGAGAAATTGTCAATTCCTGGATTCCACTTGATGAGATGTTGAGTTTTATTAATACAGATTCCAAAGAATTCGATAAAATTAATAATAATTGTTGGGTTCTTTCCTGTTATGGATCTAAAGAACAGATAATCCCATTGGAATCGGCATCACACTTTGCAAATACCTTTATAGGTAGACATTGCCTACAAATCATTGATGGAGCCGATCATAACTTCTATGGTTTGCCAGATGATCAAAACCTTTCAAATTTACCTTTGAGAAAAGGTAAAGTGAATTATGGCGTCTTATTGACCTCAAAGATAATTGATCATTTGAGTTGGCAACATCAATTAGAGAGGTTCTACAAGATTACTGAATATATAGACGTTAATCCCAATAATATGTTTCAAAATCCATCGGTAAAACTGTCAAGATGGCCATTAGAGTACAATTATTCAAAAGTTTCTAATTTTAGAGATATTGGTGGATATTTGACAATATTTCAAAACCGTAGAGTTAAATCTGGACTACTGTTTAGAAGTGCAAACCCGTGTGACATAACTCAAAACGCATTGCATTACATGCAGAGCACACTAAATATTAGACATGTATTTGACTTAAGATCTCAAGAGGAAGCGTTAGAAAACGGTATTATTAACGTTGACGCTCCTGGATATAATATGAAAGTTGAAAAATTACCGTTTAATAAAAACGTGAGTATGTCACCCGACATGATGGCAGAACATTTCCAAAGTCTATTAATCTCAGCTCAAAGTTTTCCAAAGACATACATGATAATATTAAAAGAATCAATAGAAGAGATTAGAATTTTTTTCCAATTTATAATCGATGGTCACTGTAATAAAAAAAATGCTGTCATGTATCATTGTACCGCCGGGAAGGACAGAACAGGAATTTTGACAATGCTTATCTTATCAATACTAGGTGTTGAAGATGACCTGATTGCTAAAGAATATGAATTAACCACTATTGGGCTGAAAACAGAAGAAAAACTATACAAAAAAATTGAGGCTAGAAGTGATCTATACGTTCAAATGTTCAGCCGAGACCCAAACAGGATAATACAAGAGTATAATTTGACACCACAGAAGATGTGTAAAAACTTATTATCTTCTCGTTATGAAGCAATGAGAATTTTCATCGAAGAATTCAATAGGGAATATAACTCCATCGACGAATTTTTCATCAAACAACTCCAATTTTCCCTTCATGATATAGGGAAACTGAGGGATATCCTTCTAGAATGAACCATGTCCACCCAAATTAATGATAACAAGCTCTTATATCTTATGATTGCTCTCTAATCCGGTAATATCCAGTGTTGTGTTGGCATTACCATAAGCATCCATCATCATCATCGCTGATCCGGGTAAGATTTTACCAAATATCCGAAGTTTCTCAAAGCTGGAAGAAAAGCAAAGCATTGGAAATATTTAAAAATATATAATAATAACATAATGAAATTTGAAGTGATGATTTAGTTTTGAATTAAAGTATATAAAAGGATAGGTATATGATTATCTAGGTATATTATTATCGGGATTTGTCTTATAGCAAGTTATAGACAGGTTGGAGTTTTTTTGATCTTGATTGAGTGGTTGAATCAAAAGTTATAGGTTAGGGTTTTCACAGAGAGAGAAAAAAGTAGGATAAAATATAAAACCAATCTATATTCATTATTGATAGCAGTTTTGTATACCAGTCCGATTTAGTGATATAACTGTAGGGGAATCTTTATAACTTGTTGATCTTCTATTCTAAAAATTTTTTTGGAGGGATCAAAAGATAATATTCTCTTTGATCTTTAAATTTTTATTAATAGGAAACAATCGTATTTCGAACTTTTATGATAAGATATATATTTAAAGATAATGACTGATAATATTTATTCTGCAAAATACTCGGGTGTCGATGTATATGAATTTATTCATCCTACTGGATCAGTAATGAAGCGAAAACTTGATAATTGGGTTAATGCTACACATATATTAAAAGCTGCAAATTTTGCAAAAGCCAAGAGGACAAGGATATTAGAAAAGGAAGTTATTAAAGAGACACATGAAAAAGTCCAAGGTGGTTTTGGTAAATATCAAGGTACTTGGGTACCTTTGGATATAGCGAGAAAGTTAGCAGAGAAATTTGGTGTTCATGAAGAACTTAGAATTTTATTTGACTGGACTCAAACTGATGGCTCTGCATCTCCTCCTCCTGCTCCAAAACATCATCATGCATCTAGATCTGATTCCACAAGGAAAAAGGCTACAAAGAGTAATAGTACTTCTGCAGTCCTTGAAAAGAGTAAAAGACAAAATAGCGATATAGGTAAAGCTTCTCCAGTAGTGCCGAAGAAAAGGGGAAGACCACCTTTAGCTGGTTCGGCAGCTAAAAGGAAATTGGAAGCTTCATTAAAACGTTCTCAGAGTGATATTGGCTTTCCAAGACCTAGCATACCGAATTCCTCTATACTGACAAACCAGTTACCTTCGATACTTACAAATAAACTGGAATCTCTCGATGAGGAATCACAACGGGACAGTCCGATTTCATTAAGTCAACAAACTCAATTTAAAGAATTAGATTTGAATGATGGATTGTCAAGTGATGTGGAACAACACCAATATCCATTAGAAACAAATGCTTTCGAAGATGTTAATGATTTCCAACAAAATAATGATGAGCAAAAACCTTCAATTATAGATAACAAGCAATATGCAATTACACAGACAAATCCTTATGAGGCATCATCTCCCACTGCCTCTACTCCTACTTTGCCCACATCACCGGCTGATTTATCTGATACAGCACCATTTGATCATAGATATGCTATTGGTACTTCACCTGTTATCTCAACAATTCCAAGATACCCTCCAGCTCAAGCAAGACCTGAAACATCTGATATAAATGATAAAGTTAATCAATATTTATCAAAGTTAGTTGATTATTTCACATCTAGCGAAATGAAGTCTAATAATGAAATTCCTATAGAACTGCTAAACCCTCCACAGAATAGTGCACCATACATAGATGCTCCTATAGATCCGGAATTACATACTGCATTTCATTGGGCATGTTCTATGGGAAATCAAATGATAGTTGAAGTGTTGAACAATGTAGGTACTAGCATACGTTCTACCAACTCCCAAGGACAGACACCATTAATGAGAAGTGTAATGTTTCATAACTGTTATACCCGAAGGTCTTTCCCAGGAATTTTTCAACTATTAAGAGATACGGTATTTGACGTTGATAACAGTCATCAAACCATAATCCATCATATAGTAAAGCGTAAATCTACGACACCTTCCGCAGTCTATTATTTAGATTTGGTCCTTTCACAGATAAAAGATTATTCTCCACAATATAAGATAGAGATGTTTCTCAATACCCAAGATTCTAATGGGGATACAGCGTTGACCATTGCGGCTAAGAATGGGGACAAAGTATTCTTTAACAAGCTAACATGCAACGGGGCTATGGGGAATATAGTCAATAAACAAGGAACGACAGCAAATGAATTAATGAATGAGCATTTTGAAGCATCAAAAGTTCGTAGCCAAAGTAATAGCAATGATCTAGTCGGTGCATATTTTGACTCACAAGGGGACTTCGGTAAACCAATTGAAAACAGTGGCATAATGAAATCTAAAACAGCAGAAGAGATCACTAAGAAGATACCTGAGATTGTTGAAAAGTTGCAAAAATTAGCAGAGGAATACGACAAAAAAACATTACAGAATGAGAGTGATGTTAAAGCGTTAGAAAAAACACTATTCAGTTTAACTAAATCCATTAAGAATGTTAGTGTACGTACTGCAGAGGTTTTGAAGATATCAAATACTAACGAAATCAATGATACTATAGAGAAAAAGACGATTTTATCGAAAGAGTTAAAATTGGGTATTGAAAGTGACAGAAAGAAACTGCAATCCCTTTATGAAAGAGAGCAATTGATGCGTATTGAAAATTATTTAAAGAACAATGCATTAGGTAAGGAAAACGAAAAAGAAGAGAAAGAGGATGAAGAAGTACTAAGATCTTTAAGACAAGAATTGCAAGACATTGAATCGATGCACCGGAAAACGATTGAAGAGATAATAAAGCAAATTCAAGACAATGGTAAAGTACATAAGTATCGTAAGATGATTAGTGAGGGTACAGGCATAGACACTAATGAAGTTGACAATTGTCTCGATGTCATATTGCAAACATTAAAAAATGAAGCTAGTGTCCAAGAAAAATAATATAGAGAAATAAGGCACAAATGTATAGACGGGAACGATATATATATTTATACATATATATTAAAATTTTGTAATTGCATGTATATTCTAATTTTTGATAATGCATGGTTGTATCAATACTATTATGCCAACTGTGATCAGTGTGTTTTTTTTGTCCTGTTCTGGGTGTTAAAGAGACCTAAGTTTGTGATTTGCTGTATCAATTTTAATTGATTGAAGTCTTTTGAGATCAAAAGGAAATAAATAGAATAAGTTGGGCAAAACATTTCTATATATAAATTGTTTTGCCCAACTTATTAAGGAATTCGGCTTAAAATGTCATATCGAGCCATGGGTATGACACATTGACGTTTTGATGCATAAGGTACCTTATTTTGATATAACAATTGCAGAGAGATAGTATAAAATTAAACTGATAAGGACATTTTCTAAACAAACAATTGCAGTCGTCCTGCTCAAGAGAAGTGAAGACATTAAATAATCCATACTATTGTTTAACGCGTGACCTGACCTTTTCCAATGGGATCGGTGGTGAAGAAGTGAACATGTTGATGAGTATAGACTCGATTTCATGGGAATAATTATTCTATCAATAATATCGAAAGTTAAGATTATCACCTAATAAAGTTACTGTTTCTTCAATGTCTTGCCTGTCCCGAGAACTGAAAGGTGATAATCTCTTCTCTTGTTTAGGTTAGACAGAACGTCGATATAAAAACTGAGCTAAGAATATTTTAAAGTGTATTAATAACCAGCTACATATTAGATTAAGTTATTATTGGTTAATGAGATACAATACTGTACTGGCCTTTAGATAAATAATTATATATCTACCGGATAGATTAAACTAGTATGATGGTACATTTATATTGATGGTTTCCAGATAGAGTACATTCAATAGTATACTAGGCTGTAGATAAAGCAGGAACATAATATTTGTACTATATATCTATAAACTATTAATCAAATATAATAATTCAGGTTAATTATATTATGCTTTCAATTACGTAGTGGTATAGTTTGTATATTCCGCTGTTCGCTGTTCCTCTTCAGAGGTAATGATATTATTCCTAATATGTAATATCTGAGAGGTGTCTCGATTATATATAATTAACAGTAAATTAATGTCAACTGGAGTGTGACCCACATATTGGTTTGTATTACTTCAACAATAATTGCCATTCTATGGCCATTCTATGCTAACTTGTTTATTGCAGCTATGTCACGTGTTAAATTCTGTATGGTATTGTTTCAAGATAACATCAGGCGAATTATCGTACTACCCGTTAAGATCTACTGCTCGTGTTATTATTGTTGATATTTATAAAATCTAATAGTAACTGCTATTTGAAACTACTGTATATTACTTTATAGTATTACATGATATTTATTTATTTTGTACATTAGATAGGAAGAATATAGAATTCATTTGATACTATATAGATCTACTAATTTGTGCTAGTTTCCTCAATACAGACGAATAGGGTAAAAGCAATAGCAGCACTTATTCAACGTACCCTTATTGGAGATCTGTAACTTAAGAATTCACATAGCACTCTACAAAGAATACAAAAATATATTTTTGTCAATCGAAACTTTAATAATTGTTAACCATATTTTGATATAATTACCATTGGATAGTGAAATCAACATGACTGATACTGCTTCAGCCAACAATATCAAAGGTCGTCTAAACAACTTAGAAGGACAAGTGCAAAAAATGCAAGGACAAGTGCAAGAAATGAAAGGACAGATGCATGATATTCTGCAAGAAATGAGTAAAATGAGTTCTTCACTTGAACAGTTAATCGACATGCTTAAAACACAAGGCCACCATGAAGAAATACATGCAAAAACCTTGGAACAAGCTTCGATCCACTCTTCAAATTTGCAAAGAAATGAAGATACAATTGTCAATAATAAAACGAGACTCGAAAGATTAGAGGTTTCAATGGAAAAGAGACTTATCCAAATAGAAGAAAGAATAATGACTGGAACTCCTACTACTACAACTGGAAACAATTTAGAGTCAAAATTACCACCTTCAAATGAGATTTTGGCTCAAGTAAGAAAATACTTCCCTTCTTTGGTAATTTATGAAAACCATAGCTTGCTCAAAAGCTGCATCAAAGCTTACAGTGACGTTTCATTAGTAGTCACTAGAGAAGTCATTTTAAAAGATGATGATCTTGAAGACCCGGTTCGTACTTTAATGGCCATTCAGGGTTTATTAGTAGGAAAACGTATTCGTTTTCAAGATTGGGGAAAGTTCCTATATTCCTGTTGCCAGGATATTGGTCGTTTTTACCTTACTAACGAACAAGGAATTAATGTGGATTGGACAACAGCCATATTTAAGCTTTTTGAATATTTCGATTTCAATGCCAAGACCCAAAAAGGTTTGAGTGAAGTTTCTAATTTCAATCCAGAAATGGGAGAGGAGGCAAGAGACTATTTTGTCAAACTGATCCGTAAAGGTAAAGCCGTCAGAGGAGCCTCTGCATTAGCCATTGTCGTTACCAAGATTCATGATATCTTAATGTACGAGAACTCCCTTATACCACGTCCAAAAATAACTGATATTCATAACTTTGTTGAGTTGCTCAGTTATGTTAAGGACAATGTCCCTTCAGGGATCATTCTTGATGGGGAATATGGTAACACCGCTTCTTCTCCACTATTCGCCATTCAGGGCTCCGAATCTTCCTCAAATCCTGGTTCCAACTCCGGATTTGCTACTGCAGCTTATTTTTGTACGAAATGCCAGCGTATTAGTTATCCCAGCACAATCAAGCCATACATGGAAGAAGAATTATATAGCGAATGTGACTGTGACAGAAGCTCTTCAAGATTAAGAGGTTCCAAGAAGTCCAATGTTGCAGACCTGAAAGATGACATCCTCAAAATGGAAGAACATCATATCGCGATCAACTCCGAATTTTTCGATGATTCCGAACTTGATTCTGAAACTGAAGATCCCTATTATGATAGACCGTATACCTTTGAAAATCTCGACGCCATAGATTTTGTATTGGGTCCTTCTGTAGTTCGGGTAACCTCCTTAAACGCTAGTCATCCCAAAAAATAAGACAGTGATTGCGTTAGATACAGGTGTAGCCGCTACTGATTTACCACCAACAGCCCTACCATCCCTGAATATAGCTTCAGCGGGAATAACTTCTATTACCACAGCTCCTGGTATTGAGCTTACTGTTCAGCTTTCAGCTGAAGCCACTGCTAACGCTAATCCAGAGCAAAATGGAGTGTTAAAATGATTAACGAGGTCTTGAAGAAATCAGATCCCATCTTTGACAGATGGACAAATAACATTTTCATCGCAGCCAATATAGTCGATAACACAAATATGCTTTATGGATATGCACTTAGAGAAATCAAGTTTGGCCTAACTGTTAAAGAATGCAAAAAAAAAGATACAGATAATTATGTGCCTTGAACCGTTGGGAAACAGCGTACAGACTCCGTATAAAGACAAATACTTTCGAACCGCCGTAGGTTGCTTTCCTTACATTTCCCTCTCAGTGTCGGAGTTTATAATTGTTCTTAGCTACAACTTCTTCAATGTGGTATGGTCCATCCCAAGTTGGTTCGAAAGTATTGTTCTTTATACGGAGTCGGTAAACTGTTTCGCCACGGGTATAAGGTACATAATTATCTGTTCCCTTTCTCGCATGCCTCAACAGCTCTCTAATCTTAATTCGTTCGTCTGTCGTTTTAAGACGAATAGCGTTCGTTTTAATATGGCACATCAAAGATAGATATGCGTGTTCTTGGTCTGTCATATGCTCCCCAGTTTCGTCGTCTTCTTTCTGCAGAAGACTGTTTATTGCTTGTTGGAAATCGACTGCAAAATCCTCATTAGGGAGACCAAATGCGATTTCTCTAGGTTCATATCCATAAAGCATCTTTGTGTTATTGACAATATAACTACTATTTGAAATAACTATATATTATTGTATATTATTTGCTTACTTTGTACATTAAAATGAGAGAAAGATGAAATTCTTTATTCATAAATTCACTTATTAACTAGTACTAGTCTCCATAATACAAACGAATAGAATAACAGCAATGGTGGTACATATTCAACGTGCTGTTAGTAGATATCTATAACGTAAGAATTCAAAGGGAACTCAACAAAGAATAGATTAAATAAAAATTTTGTATTGATTCCACGTTAGTACAAGATGACAGGAATAAGGAAAGAGGATCTGTCATGATTGTTAAAAGGAATGACGCTAATAGATAACTGACATGACGTATATAAAGGGCATAGTTCCTGAAGTAAAGATATACACTTTTGTTATTAAACAGAAGACCATAGAAATCCTTATATATTTAATACTACTGTATAGTTATTATAATAGTTAATTAACCTCATAGAGCTTATAACTAGTAACCTTAAGTATTTACTTCTACGGCTTGTTTCCCTAGATAAATACTTAATACATTGATATTCAATATTCCTGTCAGAAATTATGTGATGACGTAAAGTCATACTCATTAATTCAATATTAATAAGGGTGAAGAATTATATGAAACATCATTATTAATAAGGGATAAAGAAATGTTTCTAATACGAAAGTATTTACTTCTGACGTGTGAATAATATCTAAACATTGTATATAAAGACTGATAAGATCTTAATTGACACTTATCATATGTACTATATTCCCATGTGTATATTTTATACTTTAATACACCGGATCAATATCATCTAATTAAAAATGTCCTTGCAAACAACTAAACAATCAACTACTATTAATGATTCTGTAAAGAATCCACAACCCTCTGATTCTCTACAATTCCGGATCAAACAATACAATTTGAATGCTTGTCCTTGTGCTTGATGGTACTCATGTTTCCTTCACACAATCAGAAGAACTCATCCTTGTTAGCTCAGTTGGTAGAGCGTTCGGCTTTTAAACATTTCCAAGTTTAAACCAAGGATACCGAAATGTCAGGGGTTCGAGCCCCCTATGAGGAGTTCTTCCAATTATTTTTTTAATTTTTTATTTTTTAACAAGAATAAGTGATACGAGTGATTGTCTTACTAGACAATAGTTTTTCTGGTGTTTTACATTTTGTATTACTCGAACCCTGTCTGGGTTCGTACTAGGGTTCATTCACATTGTTATTGTGTTGTCTGTGTCAAGAAAGTACACCAACAGATTACCCTCCCTCGGTGTTTGCCATATAAACATATACAAGACAAGGCAAGAGACTAAAGCTTTGTCTCGATCACTGCACACGACACTAAAGGGAAATAAAACGGGATTGCTAGCAGTCCAGTCTGAAATTTAGTCCTGCGATGCCACCCCCGATTCTTTCTTGCTTTCTTGCTTTCTCTGCCTCCCAATCTGAAGGCTCAAACACAAGATACGAAAACCTCCGGGAGTGAAGAAGGGCAAGCAGACACACAGAAGAAACGAGTTTGAGTCGGTGGACCACGGCCACGATCAGCCTCTAAGCAGTCGCGCCCGCTTGCTCCCATTTCCCCTTCCCCACAACCCTTCTGTTTCGAGAAACTCTGGAAGGGGAAGGTAGACGCGTACAAGTCAAAAAACGAAAAAAAAAAAAAAAAAAAGAAACAACTGCACACAAAAAATCGAAGTTAAGTAGCCGCATACGAACACGCATCTTCCAATTCTGGTTTGCGACTGCTACTACTACTGCTGCTGCCGCCGCCCCCTAACCCTGCTTCCAGCCACAAAAAACAGCCTACGGCTGGAAGGTCAAGAACAATAAAAAAAGGGGGGGGCGGGAACAACAAAGTGCAAGAAAGACACACACGCACGAACCCGAAAAAAATCAAACACACATTCAAGTCTGGCTGGACCAATGGGCACGCTCCATCTTCGGACAAATCGAGATTTGGTGATAATTTCCAACCTCCGTTTTTGGGGTAGAAGTATCAAAACTTTGACGATTAATCCTTAATTCTTGACCTTTATTGTAATTGTAATTGTAATTGTTATTGTTATTGTTATTGTTATTGTAACTGGTCTTGTTCTATCCAATTTTTTTCATCTTCAGTGTTCTTTGGTTGGTTGGTTTACTCTTTTTTTTTTTTTCGTTCTGTTGTTCTCTTGGGGCAAACGCATACATGGGGGACAACAACACACATCGTGGCAAAGTTACAATCGATTTCAAACTATTCTCCGTTGGGTTTCCCCGCCAATTACTAATTCAATCTAATGCAATCCAATCCAATCGTATCGATTTGAATTCAATTGAATAGAACTTTTTTTTCAGTGAATTGTTCTGTGTAGTCTTACCATCAGGGTGGATCCTTGTGTATAGTTGTGATGGGTAGCCTATGCTATACAATACCATTTACACATAGGAGTCCCCCCATTACTTTGATTGTTAAGAACAATATATCTACGTTTCTTTCCCTTTCAATAATGCACACTTGTATATAACACACATTTGCAATTACACTAGGCAAAACTAAACTAAACTAAACTAAACTGTTAAACAAGTGCCAGAGGGTTCACATATACCCTTGTATGTATTAATACATTTTGATACCTCCCTTCTAGCACCTCCCACTCCCACCCACCCCCCTCCTCCCTCAACCCCCTTTCGCTTCTCTTCTCTTCTACATCTCTTAAAGGGGACAAGACAAACCTCTTAAAACTTACTTCACACACATACGTATGTCTGTAAAATAAAAATACGTTTTTCAACTCTCCCTTCTAGTTAGAATTCCCATTCATGGGATCAGTATTCCATCTACATGTGTATATATATAAGGACCCAATCTTTGCCTTGTTACAATTCGCAAACTTACATTGGGTCCAATTCATTCTCTCCCGTTGCTATTTCCTGTCACCTCTCTTTTTATCTCTTATCTCTTATCTCTCACTTCTTGTAATCTCATCTTGACTTTGAATACACAATCAAAAAAACATTAAACTACAGTTTACTCTCCCAAACTCATAAACTAGTTACTTTAATTGATAGACTCATTACAACAACAGTAATCAAACCTATTGATCAAAAATATTTTTTTAATAAAATAAAAAAATAACTAAAACAAACCCCAGTTTTTAATAAACATTCATATTATCTCCCCCCAAACCTTTACAATATACAATACTAAATCAATAAAAAATGGCCACTCCAATGGAAATGCAACGTATGTCAGAGGCTAACTTCGAAACCGATTTAATCACTTTGCCAAGATTCTTGCTAGACAACTTAAAGGATATCAAGTGTGCCACCGGTGAATTCACATTACTATTAAATGCTTTACAGTTTGCCTTCAAATTCATTTCTCAAACCATTAGAAAGGCTGAATTGATTAATTTGGTTGGTTTGGCTGGTCATGCCAACTCCACTGGTGATGAACAAAAGAAATTGGATGTCTTAGGTGATGAAATCTTTATAAACACCATGAAAGGTAGTGGTAACGTCAAGGTCTTGGTCTCTGAAGAACAAGATGATCTAATTGTATTCAAGAGTGAAGGTGGTAATTACGCAGTCTGTTGTGATCCAATTGATGGTTCTTCAAACTTGGACGCTGGTGTCTCTGTTGGTACCATCGTTTCCATTTTTAGATTATTGCCAGGTTCCACCGGTTCTATCAAGGATGTCTTGAGATCAGGTAATGAAATGGTTGCCGCTTGTTACGCTATGTACGGTGCTTCCACTCATTTGATGTTGACCACTGGTAACGGTGTCAATGGTTTCACTTTGGATACTAACTTGGGTGAATTCATTTTGACTCAAAAGAATTTGGTATTACCACCAAGCAGAGAAATCTATTCCATCAATGAAGGTAACACTAAATACTGGGATGACTCCATTAAACAATATATCAATAAATTGAAAGGTGAAGATGATGTAAACGCAAAGCCTTACTCTGCCCGTTACATTGGTTCTATGGTTGCTGATATGCACAGAACTTTCTTATATGGTGGTTTATTTGCCTACCCAGCTGACTCATACAAGAGTCCAAATGGTAAATTAAGATTGTTATACGAAGCCTTCCCAATGGCTTTCTTGGTTGAACAAGCAGGTGGTAAAGCTGTTAACGATAAGGGTGAGAGAATCATGGACCTAACTCCAACTCATATTCATGATAAATCTTCTATTTGGTTAGGTTCCAAAGAAGAAGTTGACAAATATTTGAAACACATTGGTAAAAAATAAGTATCATATCTTTCATTTGCTGGTTAGATCTATTGTAATGATATTACCAACGCATTCAATCATATTTGTTCCAGATATTTATATACAACGTCTATATATATAGATTAACTACTGTCTTCACGAGAAAATGATTTAATTTAATATATTTGTTTTAAAATTTTATAAGATGATTTTCATAATACAAATAATGATATAGGTAAGGATAAGGTAAGCTTATTTAGATATATATTAAATTTCCATTATTTAATTAGATGGTTAATTAAATGGACTAAACACAAAATTATTTTGATAGACTTTTTACAAATGTAAGATGGGGAATTAGTAATGATCTTACTACGATAGTTTAAGGAACGACACCACGATTGACCAGATCAATAAACTTTAAAGTTTTAAAAAACAATGAATATATGATATTTCATACGTTTTTGTTAAGAAGATGAAAAGAAAAATAATAAGTTGAATTGAGTTATCAACCACCAACTCAATTAGTCTTTTTATCTTCGATTCCTGGAGGAATGCTGGTATCATTAACGTAATCAGAGTAACCAACATTTTCTTTTAATTCTTTAATCATTTTTTCTCTAACTGTTTCAGCGAATTCACTTACATCCTCAGGTTTTAAATTTTCAGTTGGAATAGGTTCCAAGACTTTTACAGTGATGCAACCTCTATTGAAAACCCCCCATTTTGGAGACATCAAAGTACTTGTATTCGAAACGACGATAGGTAAAATTGGAATACCACCTTGTTGAGCCAAATGGAAAGCACCTTTCTTAAATGGTAACATAGTTAAATCGGTGGTGTAAGATCTAGTACCTTCAGGGAAAATCCACAAACCTCTTTTCTTGTCTTTAACATCTTGTAAACCACGGTTCAAAGTTTTCACAGATTTTTCTCTGTTTGTTCTCTCTATGAAGTAAGTACCACTGGCAATCATAAACCAACCAAAAACAGGAATATAACTTAAAGATTTTTTAGCAGTGATAGTACAACCTGGAGGGAAACATTTACCCAACATCAAAATATCTAGAGTACTTTGATGGTTTGAAACAGCGATGAATGGTAGATTTCTTAGATAATGTTCATTTATTACCTTAACATCAATACCAAAGAAATATTTCATTACACTGTAATAAAATCTTGCACAAACATACTGAGAGTATTCAGACTTGTTCAAAATAGTACATAACATAGATGCAACGACACCATACAAGGCAGCAATAACTAAAATTACCACCGAATACACAACTCTTAGATAATACAAAGCTGAATGCATCTTGTACTGTTTTATTTTTTTTTGCTGTCTACTATTGCTTTCACCTATTTCCCAAACTAAAACTTCTCAATCTAAATGGAACAAGGAAACTTTTAAACCAATAACTAGAGACCTATCCAGTTCCACTTCAACCTTATATACCATCCCAAAAAAGCATTATTAAAACTAGTTTGTCACATTCAATAATTAACTGTCAAATTCTTTTTTTTTTTAATAAAAAGTTTCAAGAATCATCGTTACTGAAACTTTTTCAGTAAGTGGATATAACTGTCTTTGTTGCTGTTTGTACATGTACTTCTTAGGAACTTGCTCCAAAGTTTCCATTATATTTTTTTAAACTGCCAAAGACGATAAATCACGATCCAGCCTTTAAAAAGTGAAAAATTGATCAATTTTAATGAGTATATATAAAAGGAGATGAGATGAGATGAGATGAATTGGTTAGTTTTTGATTGATTTTTGGTTTGGAATGTTGAAGTGGTACTAGGTACAATAATTATGGATGTTCTAGCACATTGTAGGGTTTATCCACTTTCTAGTGTATGTTGATTTTATGCTAAGATTTTTGAAATGAGACGTCTGTAGGATGAAATGTTTTTTGTTTACTAACCTTTCTTTTACTGTATCTATTTACTGTATTATTTTCTTAGTTCTATCATCCCAGGGTTTCTTTTGTAGATGTTGGGAAACTTAATATTAGTAATGATCCATATCCAGGTACAGATTCTGGGAGCATTGGATTGTTGCATTTGATTGAGCATAATTTCATTCTTTCGAACTTCAAGAAGTCTTTGATTATTGAGAGTTTGAGAGACAGTTCAAACAAAAGTATTTTAGTTATTGATATAGTTTCTATTTGGGGTAAATTTCTTGGGAGTTTAAATAATGAACATGAAATTGGCAAGAATCTTGGAATTTATTATATGAATTCTAATAGTATTTTAACTATGGATAGGCTAATAAATTTCTTAATACAATTGAACGAATCACCCATCGAAGCGTTCAAGAAATGTCAGTTTGTGGGTAAAAGCTCTCAGCAACTTTCAGGGATAATTATTGATAACATATCATACTTCACTCATGATAACAATGAAAATGGCATTCAAAATGCAAGCAAAGCCTATAATAACTTGTTAAAGATTTTAAAATTATTAAGAAAAAATTTTGGATGTTGGATTATGACGATTAGCTATGGAATGGAATACTATGACGGTGTAGAAAATAGCACTTCACATCTAATTAAA